AGGATTGATTATTAGTTCTGCCTCAGTTTCCACTTGAAGGTCGAGGCAGAAGCGACTCCAGCACTGATGAAATCCTGTTCTTCTTCGTCCCAGAGCCCAAACCCGTCCCTGACCTTCTGCGTGAAGACCCACGACCGCCTCTACTACATGGTGGCGCCGTCGGCCGAGGCCATGAGGATCTGGATGGACGTCATCGTCACGGGCGCCGAGGGATACACGCAGTTCCTCAACTGAGAGCCGGAAGCTTCGGCAGGGACCGACCCGGTCCGGTTCTCAGGCCCGGGCCAACCTCCTCCTCACACCGCCTTGTTTGTTATTTTTTCCCACTGCGGTTCTGATCGGACTGGCGGAGTGAGCCGTGCCCCCCCACACCCCCCCATCACATCTCTGTATATTAACCAAAATGTCCGCCCAGCCGGATGACTCGAAGCCTTTCTATGTTGCCAAAAGGAGATCCAGTTACTGTTTAATATTTCTGTTGTTTTTATTTTGTACTTGTAGAAAAAAAAAAAAGCCAAAATGAGTCGTTGCCAATCTTTTTAAATTATTCTATCATAACTTGAAGTACAGAGAAGAAGAAAGAAACATTGATTTAAAAACGCTGGTGGTAGAAACCCCCCCCCCCCCCCCCCCCCCCCCCCCCCCCATATAACTGAACAGAAATGCCTCAAACCTTTCAGAGGGGGCGGAGCTATCCGTGGTCCTGACCCATAGTCCTACTTGTCACGTAACAGTTCTGCTCCGATCAAACAGATCGGCTTCTCTGCCAGAGTTATGGACCCGCCCACGCCGCCCACGCCATTATGCTGCGTTCACACTGAATGCCTTTAGGCATCAAAAATGCATCTCATCGTGAAGTCAGGCAGACTTCTAATGCCATGCTCAGACTGCACGCAGCAGAGGCAGCAAAGAATGAGCCTGCTGCTTCATGCTCGTCCTCATTAAGGTCCGATGCTCCTGAAGGTCGTCCAGTAAAGTGTGTCCAGATGCATCTGCTGCTCCTGTGTTCAATGGCAGAGCAGCATCGCTATATTTGCTGTGATCAGTGGGTAAAAAGTAGTTTTAATGTGTTTTTAATTGAGTCCTCCTGAAAACATGGTCTGTGCAGTCAGTTCATCCAGATTACCATCCTGCCTTCAAATATTATTTCGCTGTGGGAGCCGCTCAGACCCCAACATACCGGCGGAGCGCTGTCACTGGGAATCCCCTTCAAGGCAGCCTCTGGCCTGGTCGCCTCTTCAGGGTTTTTCGCTACTGTTCGCGGCGTCTGGAAGGCGTTTCTACGTAATCCAAACAGCAGGCACCACAATAATCAAACATATTCTGCTGGCAGGTTTCAACATTTTCAGTTAATTTAGGCGTTAAACTGTTTCAGAGGAGTGATCGCAGCGCTCTGCATCAGCAGTGTGTCTGTCTCCCTGCCAGCTCCCAGATCAGCTTCTCTGATTGGTTGATGCGGCGCGTCCAGCACCAAAGTAAAATTTTTCCAACTCCAGCATCCGCTGCTTCTGAAGTGTGTCGCCCGCCTCAGATGCCCAGGAGCTCATGAGGCGCTACTTCAGCCGCTCAAATCGCGCAGCAGCTTCACCTTGATGCGAATCAACCATTATCTTCCCATGTAAACCAGCTGCTTCTGCTGCCTCTAGCACGTGCGTTCTAAACGTAGCATAAAGAGTTTTTCTCTAGGTTCAGCAGCAGATGAGGTTTAATGTTAGGCAGATTTATTGGCTGTGATGAAAGAAAAAAAAAAAAAACGGCTTGAAGATGTTCAAGATAGAAAGTTCCCCTCAGAAAGCAGCCGATTCATCAGATTCTGATCCTTCCTGCAAATGCCCCCAGCAGTCACTGGGAATAGGGCTAAGCAATTAACTGCATTTGCAATATAATCACAATTTTCAAATCGCAGAGGCACTGAATTTTAGTCACATTACATTTAACAAAATCAAGACACTAAACTTTTCAATTCAGCTTTCAGGTGGCTGTTATGTGCCATCAAACTTCTGGCCAGAGAAAAAACCCGTAATATGTAGCCAACATTTGGAAGAAGAATGTTTTCAAGATGACTTGGATAATAGCGCGTTGTGACAAACACCAGATACAGCACTGGGACTTGATCAACAGCCGATACCGCACCGTGACGTCACAAACCAGTAGGTGGCAGTAGTGTTGTTTGACAAACATGGATGCCTCCAGTAAAGCACATTCACATGAAAATTACTCTGAATTAAAAACACTTAATAATTTCATGCTTAAAGTACTTTTAAAAGTTTGAATTCTGAATATGACCGAACTTTTCCTTTAAGGAACCTTGTGCGCTCTGATTATTCATCCATTTATCAAAAAAAATAATCAACGGATTAATTCATTTGCAAGAAATTCTTAGTTGCAGCCGTAGTTCCAGCAGAGCATGGTGGCTCCAACAGGGAGCGGTGCTCGATGTTCCATCAAGGAGTGAAAACAGACGCTCAGTGTGTCTCTGGAGGGGGTCAAAATCTGATGAATGAACCCAGTGGACATTGGGTGCCTATGGAAGAAAAACAGTCTCATTGGAATCTGCCTTTTTTTTTAACACCGAATTTTAAACACAGAAATTTTTTAGACATTGAATTCCTTACACTCAATTTCTATCTGGTAAAAATTCACCAGAAAAAAATTCAGCTGCAGAAAATTCAGCTGCAAAAAAATTCAGCTGCAAAAAAATTCAGCTGCAAAAAAAAGCTGCAAAAATTCAGCTCCAAAAAAAATCAGCTGCAAAAAAATCAGCTGCAAAAAAAATCAGCTGCAAAAAAAATCAGCTGCAAAAAAATCAGCTGCAAAAATTCAGCTGCAAAAAAAATCAGCTGCAAAAAATTCAGCTGCAAAAAAATTCAGCTGCAAAAAAATTCAGCTGCAAAAAAAATCAGCTGCAAAAATTCAGCTGCAAAAAAAAATCAGCTGCAAAAAAAAATCAGCTGCAAAAAATTCAACTGCAAAAAAAATCAGCTGCAAAAAATTCAGCTGCAAAAAAAATCAGCTGCAAAAATTCAGCTGCAAAAAAATTCAGCTGCAAAAATTCAGCTGCAAAAAAAATCAGCTGCAAAAAAAAATCAGCTGCAAAAAATTCAACTGCAAAAAAAATCAGCTGCAAAAAATTCAGCTGCAAAAAAAATCAGCTGCAAAAATTCAGCTGCAAAAAAATTCAGCTGCAAAAATTCAGCTGCAAAAAAAAAATCAGCTGCAAAAAATTCAGCTGCAAAAAAAAGCTGCAAAAATTCAGCTCCAAAAAAAATCAGCTGCAAAAAAATCAGCTGCAAAAAAAATCAGCTGCAAAAAAAATCAGCTGCAAAAAAATCAGCTGCAAAAATTCAGCTGCAAAAAAAATCAGCTGCAAAAAATTCAGCTGCAAAAAAATTCAGCTGCAAAAAAATTCAGCTGCAAAAAAAATCAGCTGCAAAAATTCAGCTGCAAAAAAAAATCAGCTGCAAAAAAAAAATCAGCTGCAAAAAATTCAACTGCAAAAAAAATCAGCTGCAAAAAATTCAGCTGCAAAAAAAATCAGCTGCAAAAATTCAGCTGCAAAAAAATTCAGCTGCAAAAATTCAGCTGCAAAAAAAATCAGCTGCAAAAAAAAATCAGCTGCAAAAAATTCAACTGCAAAAAAAATCAGCTGCAAAAAATTCAGCTGCAAAAAAAATCAGCTGCAAAAATTCAGCTGCAAAAAAATTCAGCTGCAAAAATTCAGCTGCAAAAAAAAAATCAGCTGCAAAAAAATCAGCTGCAAAAAAAATCAGCTGCAAAAAAAATCAGCTGCAAAAAAATCAGCTGCAAAAAAATCAGCTGCAAAAATATTCAGCTGCAAAAAAAATTTAGCTGCAAAAAAATCAGCTGCAAAAAAAATCAGCTGCAAAAATTCAGCCGCAAAAGTGTTGACCTGTTGGTGAACTCAAGCCAAAGCAATCTACACTCGATAGAGTCCAGCAGCTTCTAGCCAATGAAATTAGCTCATTTGGTCACAGCAAACAGACAGGGGTGCCGTACTAGCTGTGATCGGCTCAGTTGTTTCACCCAGTCTGATAAGAGGAAAAACTCTAATAGCTGCCTGTAGCTATATATAGCTGTCTGTCTGTAGCTAACTGACGTTTTGTCTTTCTATCTGTTTAACGAAAAAAAAAATAAAAAAATCCTCATTCAGCCGGGAACAGCGCTGAGCCCAACTGTTGTGTCACATGACGAAATGAGCTAATTTCATTGGCTAGAAGCTGCTCGACTCTGAGTGTAGATTGCTTTGGCTTGAGTTCACCAAAATGTCAACACTTTCGCGGCTGAATTTTTTTGCAGCTGACTTTTTTTCTGGTGAATTTTTACCGGATAAAAATTGAGTGTAAAGGAATTCAATGTCTAAAAAAATTCAGTGTTTAAAATTCGTTGTTAAAAAATAAAGGCAAATTCCAATGAGACTGTTTTTCTTCCATAGCCGCCAGATCAGAGCAGCTTTTTCGCTGCTCTGATCTGTCCTTTTAGATTCCACCTTCAACCAACATGGCTGCTAGCCGTTAGCAGCTAGTCCATCATGGCTGAAATGATTCCCTCTGATGCAGCTTTTATTTTGAAGTTAGGTTTTCCTGGCTGAGAAGCAGTTTAGCTATAAATTTAAACCGCTAGCCGTCATATTGGTCTAGACCCGCCCATTCCCTCTGATCCAGATAAAACTTCCTGTCATCTGTTCAGTCCATTTTCCTGATGCGACCCTGACCAGTTCAGGAAACGGTTCATGCGTTCATCAGTCACCTGCCGTTTCCTCCAAACTGTGACCGTTTGGTTCAGATCTAACTGCCTCTTCTCTCTATCGTGGCCTTTTTGTTCAGCGTTTGTATATTTCTGCCTTACTGAGATAGCTGCCTCCTCACTGAAGCTCCCCACTGTCCCGGCGGAGGGGGGGGCTTGTTTACAGTAAATGCTTGGCTGTCATCCACATGTGCATGAAAGAGTGAAAGAATATTGTATAAAAGAAGAAGTTTCACTTTGTCATTTTAGAACTTTTATTGCATTTAAAATTGTACAGCAGTCACATGAATAAAACTTTTATTTTTTACTGGTACAAGACTTGTGCAGGTACGTGTAAATGAAATAAATCTCCCTGCACCATGAAGACCGGATGCCCCTCCCCTCAGAGGGACGCAATCAGCACCCTGACCACGCCGTGTTCCTGATGTCTGTGTCTCTGTCATGTTTCAATCATGTGGATTTCTGTCAGATCTATTAAAGAAAAACGATTATCAGCAAACGCTCCTCCGCTGTCCGTTATGTCGGGTGGAGGTGGGTCACTGTTCCAGTGTTGAGCAGCGGCGAGGTGCCACCTATTTTTTTTTTTTTTCCTGCTGCATGTGAACGAGAATAAACAGGAAAGAAAAACTGATAATAAAGCTAAAAGTTAAAGAACCTAAAGTTCCCCAAAGTAAAATCAAATCCCAACACCACTTTGAACGGTTTTAAAAACAAAACAATCATCCAAGATGAAGGCCTGGAGGTCTCCCTCCTTCAGCCGTTCCTGGGGGCGGAGTCACACCATGTTGTCGCTGTCACCTGCAGACAAACAAATTATTTGGTTTTAGGGAGATTTAGTCTACAGGGAATAATTAGATTCAAGTAAAAAAAAGCCTAAAAGGAAAGTGGGGAAAAAAGAAAAATTAAGTTTTTTTTTCTGGCAATACTTTGTTCTGCCACTAGAGGTGCTAAAACTACATCAACTAATGTTTTAACCCTTTAGATCAGGAGTCTTCAACATTTTCCAGGCCAAGGACCCAAAACTGATGGAGAGACGGAGCGGGGACACTAATTACATAGATTGCATGAAACTGGTCCTATAGTCACTCTATTATAGATGGAGTAATGTAACTAAAGTAATCCCTCCCTGGGATTATTAAAGTATTTCTGATTCCTGGTTGATGGACAGGTGTTGTGAATGAAACGGTGCCCAGCCTGTTCATTGATGACTGAAAGACATCTTCTGCCTCCATTTATCTGTTCACTACAGTCTGTTGAATTCATGTTAATGTTTATTTAAAGACATTTCAATTAGTGGAAAAAACTGCAGGGGGAATAAAAAATAAAAAAAGTCTAATCCATCAAATTTCAAACCAATAGTGTTATTGGAATCCAGAACAATATCTTGTTGCCTTTGTAACGTTCAAAAAATGTGGATGTTTTGATGGCAAAATGTCAATATAATAAGAAAATCCAACTTGCCCAAATATATTAAGAAAAATAACTATTTCTATCAGAAATTCAGGAAAAATACTATGAGAGTGAAAGAAACACATTTTTTTTGGTCCAACATTACCTTAGAGGCATTAATGCTGATACTGGCCTAAATATAATTGTTAACCAGGTTTATTAACTTTTCAACTAGGTTTTTAAAGCTACAGTGTGTAACTTTTAGCAACATCTAACGTCCAGACTGCAGACCGCAGCAACATGAACATCTCCCCCCAACCGCTTCTCCCCCCCCAACAGTACAGCGAGCGTTACGGGACAAAATGTCTTCCACGACGTCTGCATCACCTACCTTCTCAAGTGACGAGGTTTGTTTACATAGATAATTTTACAGATAGTATTTCATTAGTCTGTGTAGGGTATAGATTTCATGTAGACTTAAAATAATAAATGTACCCGTTATTTTTTCTACATTGTTGTGACATTTTGGCGATCTCGCAATCGCTAGTTTGTTCCCTCCTATGTAATTATAAATAACGAATTCTAAGGCAACGCAAATATTAAGGTTAAGAGGCTGAGCTCGTAGAGGATGATAAATAACATAGTTATGTATAATATATTACATTTCTGACTGTATATCCCTGTAATTATTACACACTGTAGCTTTAACTTTTTTCTTGACTCAACTTTTTTCCAACTTAATTTACATTTTTTAAGCGGTATGCAAGTTATCAAAAATGATAACTTGCCTTATAAAGGCTTAAATGACAAAGTTAAAAGTTCATATTTTTCTCCTCTCAGGGCAGAAAAAGAATCTTGGAAACATTTTTTTTTCTTTGAATTTGACCAATTTGGTTTGATTTCAAATCTATAACAGATCCACCAGCCTGCAATCAAAGAAACTAAATCAGCCGTTTTCCAGAAGAATCCAAAAACTGCAGCAGCCCTTCAACAGAAATCCCAGATTATAATCCAGCTGCAGCTCAAAGTGTGAGAGAACGTCTGTATCTTTAATGGAGCAAACACCAGATGGGGGCGACGTTCATGATGAATCTCAGTGTTTTCTGATCAGCATAAGTCTTATTTACCCTCAGTGATCATGTGATGTTTACTGACCTCTGGAAATAAAAGCTGTTGTGTCACAGTTTTTAATCCACACTGCTTAGGAGGATCCAGGAATTATTTAGCAGGAAAGTCAAACTCTCTTTGCTCCAGGGGCGAATAATTCAACTCTTTATAACCACCACTGATTCATTTCAGCAGAGACAAGTTTTACAAAACAAAATGTTTTTCACGATCTACAGAAAACATTTACGATTCTTCCTACAGCTGCAAAAATCTCAGAATAGTTAGGAAGAATAAAACATCTACTGTTATGATTTTTGAGATAAAGCTATTTGAATGATGCAGCTCATTTTTCTGTCTCCTGCGCTGCTCTGGAACATTTTTTCTATTGGCAGCTCCATTAAGTGCATCTCCAGTGTCAGACGCTCCAGGCAGAGGCGTAGCCAGAACATTTTAATAAGGGTGTCGGGCAATAACCAATGCACACTGAGGGGGGGCCGAAAGCAGAGAGGCACCAGAAACTCGGGCTCAATCCACACTATTGCAACAGGAAAATCAACCAGCAAAACATCCATAGTTTTTAAATAAAGACGGGCTAACATTATCCCTGGCTGCTGCTGACGGGCTAACGGTCGCCCTGGCTGCTGCAGACGGGCTAACGGTCGCCCTGGCTGCTGCAGACGGGCTAACGGTCGCCCTGGCTGCTGCTGACGGGCTAACGGTCGCCCTGGCTGCTGCAGACGGGCTAACGGTCGCCCTGGCTGCTGCAGACGGGCTAACGGTCGCCCTGGCTGCTGCTGACGGGCTAACGGTCGCCCTGGCTGCTGCTGACGGGTAATGGTCGCCCTGGCTGCTGCAGACGGGCTAACGGTCGCCCTGGCTGCTGCAGACGGGCTAACATTATCCCTGGCTGCTGCAGATGGGCTAACGTTATCCCTGGCTGATGCAGACAGGCTAACGGTCGCCCTGGCTGCTGCAGACAGGCTAACGGTCGCCCTGGCTGCTGCTGACGGGCTAACGGTCGCCCTGGCTGCTGCAGACGGGCTAACGTTATCCCTGGCTGCTGCTGACGGGCTAATGGTCGCCCTGGCTGCTGCAGACGGGCTAACGGTCGCCCTGGCTGCTGCAGACGGGCTAACGGTCGCCCTGGCTGCTGCAGACGGGCTAACGGTCGCCCTGGCTGCTGCAGACGGGCTAACATTATCCCTGGCTGCTGCAGATGGGCTAACGTTATCCCTGGCTGATGCAGACAGGCTAACGGTCGCCCTGGCTGCTGCAGACAGGCTAACGGTCGCCCTGGCTGCTGCAGACAGGCTAACGGTCGCCCTGGCTGCTGCTGACGGGCTAACGGTCGCCCTGGCTGCTGCAGACGGGCTAACGTTATCTCTGGCTGCTGCAGACAGGCTAACGGTCGCCCTGGCTGCTGCTGACGGGCTAACGGTCGCCCTGGCTGCTGCAGACGGGCTAACGTTATCCCTGGCTGATGCAGACAGGCTAACGGTCGCCCTGGCTGCTGCAGACAGGCTAACGGTCGCCCTGGCTGCTGCTGACGGGCTAACGGTCGCCCTGGCTGCTGCAGACGGGCTAACGGTCGCCCTGGCTGCTGCTGACGGGCTAACGGTCGCCCTGGCTGCTGCTGACGGGCTAACGGTCGCCCTGGCTGCTGCTGACGGGCTAACGGTCGCCCTGGCTGCTGCAGACGGGCTAACGGTCGCCCTGGCTGCTGCTGACGGGCTAACGGTCGCCCTGGCTGCTGCTGACGGGTAATGGTCGCCCTGGCTGCTGCAGACGGGCTAACGGTCGCCCTGGCTGCTGCAGACGGGCTAACATTATCCCTGGCTGCTGCAGATGGGCTAACGTTATCCCTGGCTGATGCAGACAGGCTAACGGTCGCCCTGGCTGCTGCAGACAGGCTAACGGTCGCCCTGGCTGCTGCTGACGGGCTAACGGTCGCCCTGGCTGCTGCAGACGGGCTAACGTTATCCCTGGCTGCTGCTGACGGGCTAATGGTCGCCCTGGCTGCTGCAGACGGGCTAACGGTCGCCCTGGCTGCTGCAGACGGGCTAACGGTCGCCCTGGCTGCTGCAGACGGGCTAACGGTCGCCCTGGCTGCTGCAGACGGGCTAACATTATCCCTGGCTGCTGCAGATGGGCTAACGTTATCCCTGGCTGATGCAGACAGGCTAACGGTCGCCCTGGCTGCTGCAGACAGGCTAACGGTCGCCCTGGCTGCTGCAGACAGGCTAACGGTCGCCCTGGCTGCTGCTGACGGGCTAACGGTCGCCCTGGCTGCTGCAGACGGGCTAACGTTATCTCTTGCTGCTGCAGACAGGCTAACGGTCGCCCTGGCTGCTGCTGACGGGCTAACGGTCGCCCTGGCTGCTGCAGACGGGCTAACGTTATCCCTGGCTGATGCAGACAGGCTAACGGTCGCCCTGGCTGCTGCAGACAGGCTAACGGTCGCCCTGGCTGCTGCTGACGGGCTAACGGTCGCCCTGGCTGCTGCAGACGGGCTAACGGTCGCCCTGGCTGCTGCAGACGGGCTAACGGTCGCCCTGGCTGCTGCTGACGGGCTAACGGTCGCCCTGGCTGCTGCTGACGGGCTAACGGTCGCCCTGGCTGCTGCTGACGGGCTAACGGTCGCCCTGGCTGCTGCAGACGGGCTAACGGTCGCCCTGGCTGCTGCAGACGGGCTAACGTTATCCCTGGCTGCTGCTGACGGGCTAATGGTCGCCCTGGCTGCTGCAGACGGGCTAACGGTCGCCCTGGCTGCTGCAGACGGGCTAACGGTCGCCCTGGCTGCTGCAGACGGGCTAACGGTCGCCCTGGCTGCTGCAGACGGGCTAACATTATCCCTGGCTGCTGCAGATGGGCTAACGTTATCCCTGGCTGATGCAGACAGGCTAACGGTCGCCCTGGCTGCTGCAGACAGGCTAACGGTCGCCCTGGCTGCTGCAGACAGGCTAACGGTCGCCCTGGCTGCTGCTGACGGGCTAACGGTCGCCCTGGCTGCTGCAGACGGGCTAACGTTATCTCTGGCTGCTGCAGACAGGCTAACGGTCGCCCTGGCTGCTGCTGACGGGCTAACGGTCGCCCTGGCTGCTGCAGACGGGCTAACGTTATCCCTGGCTGATGCAGACAGGCTAACGGTCGCCCTGGCTGCTGCAGACAGGCTAACGGTCGCCCTGGCTGCTGCTGACGGGCTAACGGTCGCCCTGGCTGCTGCAGACGGGCTAACGGTCGCCCTGGCTGCTGCTGACGGGCTAACGGTCGCCCTGGCTGCTGCTGACGGGCTAACGGTCGCCCTGGCTGCTGCTGACGGGCTAACGGTCGCCCTGGCTGCTGCAGACGGGCTAACGGTCGCCCTGGCTGCTGCAGACGGGCTAACGTTATCCCTGGCTGCTGCTGACGGGCTAATGGTCGCCCTGGCTGCTGCAGACGGGCTAACGGTCGCCCTGGCTGCTGCAGACGGGCTAACGGTCGCCCTGGCTGCTGCAGACGGGCTAACGGTCGCCCTGGCTGCTGCAGACGGGCTAACATTATCCCTGGCTGCTGCAGATGGGCTAACGTTATCCCTGGCTGATGCAGACAGGCTAACGGTCGCCCTGGCTGCTGCAGACAGGCTAACGGTCGCCCTGGCTGCTGCAGACAGGCTAACGGTCGCCCTGGCTGCTGCTGACGGGCTAACGGTCGCCCTGGCTGCTGCAGACGGGCTAACGTTATCTCTGGCTGCTGCAGACAGGCTAACGGTCGCCCTGGCTGCTGCTGACGGGCTAACGGTCGCCCTGGCTGCTGCAGACGGGCTAACGTTATCCCTGGCTGATGCAGACAGGCTAACGGTCGCCCTGGCTGCTGCAGACAGGCTAACGGTCGCCCTGGCTGCTGCTGACGGGCTAACGGTCGCCCTGGCTGCTGCAGACGGGCTAACGGTCGCCCTGGCTGCTGCTGACGGGCTAACGGTCGCCCTGGCTGCTGCTGACGGGCTAACGGTCGCCCTGGCTGCTGCAGACGGGCTAACGGTCGCCCTGGCTGCTGCTGACGGGCTAACGGTCGCCCTGGCTGCTGCTGACGGGTAATGGTCGCCCTGGCTGCTGCAGACGGGCTAACGGTCGCCCTGGCTGCTGCAGACGGGCTAACATTATCCCTGGCTGCTGCAGATGGGCTAACGTTATCCCTGGCTGATGCAGACAGGCTAACGGTCGCCCTGGCTGCTGCAGACAGGCTAACGGTCGCCCTGGCTGCTGCTGACGGGCTAACGGTCGCCCTGGCTGCTGCAGACGGGCTAACGTTATCCCTGGCTGCTGCTGACGGGCTAATGGTCGCCCTGGCTGCTGCAGACGGGCTAACGGTCGCCCTGGCTGCTGCAGACGGGCTAACGGTCGCCCTGGCTGCTGCAGACGGGCTAACGGTCGCCCTGGCTGCTGCAGACGGGCTAACATTATCCCTGGCTGCTGCAGATGGGCTAACGTTATCCCTGGCTGATGCAGACAGGCTAACGGTCGCCCTGGCTGCTGCAGACAGGCTAACGGTCGCCCTGGCTGCTGCAGACAGGCTAACGGTCGCCCTGGCTGCTGCAGACAGGCTAACGGTCGCCCTGGCTGCTGCTGACGGGCTAACGGTCGCCCTGGCTGCTGCAGACGGGCTAACGTTATCTCTTGCTGCTGCAGACAGGCTAACGGTCGCCCTGGCTGCTGCTGACGGGCTAACGGTCGCCCTGGCTGCTGCAGACGGGCTAACGTTATCCCTGGCTGATGCAGACAGGCTAACGGTCGCCCTGGCTGCTGCAGACAGGCTAACGGTCGCCCTGGCTGCTGCTGACGGGCTAACGGTCGCCCTGGCTGCTGCAGACGGGCTAACGGTCGCCCTGGCTGCTGCAGACGGGCTAACGGTCGCCCTGGCTGCTGCTGACGGGCTAACGGTCGCCCTGGCTGCTGCTGACGGGCTAACGGTCGCCCTGGCTGCTGCTGACGGGCTAACGGTCGCCCTGGCTGCTGCAGACGGGCTAACGGTTGCCCTGGCTGCTGCTGACGGGCTAACGGTCGCCCTGGCTGCTGCAGACGGGCTAACGGCCGCCCTGGCTGCTGCAGACGGGCTAACGGTCGCCCTGGCTGCTGCAGACGGGCTAACGTTGGCCCTGGCTGCTGCAGACGGGCTAACGGTCGCCCTGGCTGCTGCTGACGGGCTAACCGTCGCCCTGGCTGCTGCAGACGGGCTAACGGTCGCCCTGGCTGCTGTTAGCCTAAGAGCGTCGCTGGTCGCTGCGGTCCTCTCAACACCTTTTTTTTTTAAATGATGCGCTAAATCAGTAAATGGGAGCTTAAAAGTACAATGTTCTCGCCTCAAATGATCTTAAAATATACTTTTATAGAACAGCAACAACAGAAAAGAGAGCTTTTAATTTTTAGTGAAATACTTTTACATCGTGTTTGTAAAAAGGAGGGCTACCGCAGGTCATTCATCCCTGCTGCCATCAGACTACAATGAGTCACTACAACGGCAATAAATTATGCAATGTATAATGTGCAAGTACTATTTTATTCCCTGTGCAATAACTATATAAATAAATATAAATGCAAACACCCTGTGCAACAAACCCGGAATAATGATCCACTGGATGCACTGTGCACCTTTTACTTCCTTTGACACATTCTTTTTCTTTGACTATTTGAGCTGATATAACGAGTACATTTCTCCACTGTGAGATCAATAAAGTGAATCCCTCAATCAATAAAGCAGTGCATGCTGGGACAGCTGTCAGTCTCAAGAATGGACAAGTCTGCTCTGATGCATGCTGGGTAAAGATGGAGGGGCGAGAGCAACATCCAGGGACTGTGTCTGTTCTTGGTCTTATGTTCATATAGAGAAACGGACCCTATTTAGGAGCAGCTTTCAGGAAACTGAGAGCTAACAGAATGCTAACAAGGTCACAAACAGCGCTGATCTTTAAGAATCAGACAGTCTACTGTGTTTTTCTTTCATATGGAAATGGTTCCCCTCAGATCTTTGCACAGAAAGAGCAAAAAACGCTGAGGAACTCTTACTTTAAGCACAGGGGGATGTGTAGTCAGTGGCAGCCTGGTCAGCTGAAACAAGAGAGAAACATCAGTGTGTAACGAGAACGATGAAACGATTGACGTGCTGACTGCTTATCGCTGAGGTCTTACTGGGCTGGTAGTAGTCATAGACTTTAATCACAGCTGGTTTCAGGTTCCCGACACGCTGATCTTCCTCCAGAACCACCTTGAACATCTGTATTTCATCCCTTTTCAGCTGCGATTACAAACAACATTCAGACAATTATTTTCTGAGCAGCTACAGGAAGGTGGAGTCACACAACCTCCGGGACACCTACCCCATCCAGGTAGATGTCGATAAATCCGTTGTCTATGTCCACACGCTTCGCTGAACTGAGGGAGCTCTGCTCCACAACATATCCAGACAGCAGCTTAATGTTGAGGACGACCATGTTGGTTTCCGCTCTCCTGCCCTGGTACCTGCAGGAAGAGACATAAAGCAATTCCAAGCTCGCTGCTTTTCGGTTTCAAACAGAGACAGATAATCCTGCTGAAGTTAACCCCCACCCCCATCAGCAGCGGCAGTACCTGACGCTGACAGAGAGTTGGAGCTTCGGCCGCTTGAGATCACAGTAGGCATCCACTCTCTTAGTGATGCTGAAGGCAGAGAAGTCGTCAGGAGGAGGGATGTTGTAGTGCAAGGAGATCTGCAGAGACACAAAAGCAGTCTTACTCAGAGAATTGCTGAAGTTTTCTCACCCCTGAGTGTCTTTAGACCTTCTAACGAAACCACCGTTTGTTCTATTGGGATTATAGTAAAACCGAAGGAAATAAACGTTTTTCGCTTTTCTAAAAGAAAAGTGAACATCAACTTGGACATTTTTGCCAGAAAGTGTTTTTTAGATAAAGGCTTTGAATAGGCCATTCTAAAATTCTAAACCATTCTATATTTTGGTTCCCTGCCTTCCGCTCCACTAGGGGGCATCATACTTTGTTAAATACAAAACCAGAAGTGGTTCGATCAAAATCGGAAGGAACATTCCTGTTTTTTAGGGCTTAATTCGGATTACTTTAACATTAGTCTAACTGATCCCTGAAATCTGCTGCTGATTTTTTTTCTTACTCTCTTCGTCCATTTACATGAAAAAAAAATGAAACAATGATAACAGATGTTACAAAAGTTTAAATGTAAACAAAACAAAACTTGTGAGAAATCAAAGCAGAAATTATCAATGGAAAGCGGGTGGGTGGAGCAGCAACGCGTGCAGCTAACCATCTCTCGATGTCTGCTAAATGCACCAACGAATCGGCAGAGCTCACTCTGATATGCTGCCCAAGGTGGTTGATGATGCTGAAAACTGTGAATAACTCAGAAATGCTGTTTTTAATCATCTGAGGTTTCAGAGTTTTATTTTCTGTCCATCAGAAGCTTATTAGCACTATGCTAGCAAAGAACAATATGATTTCAGATTGATGCTAAATGCTAATGTGTTCAGGGATACTTCCTGTTGGATCATAAGGTCTGTGACTGAAATCCTCCATAACCTTGAGTTTTAAATACTGACGTGTGATTTGTAAAGATTTAAATTTGTGTTTATTTGACTAAAGGATTTATTTTTCTATTTGACATTTTGTAATTCACTAGTTTATAAACAACCACTATAACAATTACCCCATTTCCACTACCCTTGCAAAACCGATCCATGCCGAGCCCGGGCCGAGCTCGGATCAGTTAACCAGGGCGAGCTCGGTTCTGACGACCGTTTACACATCACGCTATCGCAGTTCCTCGCCTCCTAGTGACGATCTGCGGTATTACTGCCAGTATTGAAGGAGGAAATCAAGCAGTTGGTGGCAGTAATGCACCAAAAGTTGTTTGCCAACCGCCATAAAACACAAGAAGAAGAAGACGAAGAAGGAGGGAATCAAGCAAATCAAAATGGCGGCGCCCGTCAGATTTAGAAAGTTATGCTTGATTATTATTGCTGTACTTCGGTGTTATTATTTAAAATGCCATTATTTAAAATGTTGCGTGGAGAAGATTTAGATTGTTGTTTATAGTTGTTGTTCTTCTTCTGTTTTGTGTTGGTTGGCAAGCAACTTCGGATGGGCATTACCGCCAACTACTGGAATGAATGAATGAGAACCGAGCCAAGGGAAAAACCGAGCCGAGCCCACCTCTGGAACTGGTCTGCAGTTAGCTCGGTTCGGTTGTGTCTAGCTCAGTTCAGTTCAGTTTGCTTTCCATTTACACACGATAAGTTATCTCAGTTACTGAGCTCGGACCGGTCTCTGCACCGTTTTTCAAGGGTAGTGTAAATGGTGTAAATAACTATGCTTTGTAACTCTAGCATAGCTCTAACTTTAGCGTTTGAACCTGTAGCACAGGGCTAATTTTAACGGTTGTAACTCTAGCGTGGGCGCTGAATTTAGCAGTTGTAACTCTAGCGTAGGGCTAATTTTAGTGGTTTTAACTCTAGTGTGGGGCTAAATTTAGCAGTTGTAATTCTAGTGTAGCTCTAACTTTAGCGGTTGTAAATCTAGCGTGGGGCTAAATTTAGTTGTTTTAACTCTAGCGTGGGGCTAAATTTAGCAGTTGTAACTGTAGTGTAGCTCTAACTTAAGCGGTTGTAAATCTAGCACAGGGCTAATTTTAGTGGTCGTAAATTTGGCAGTTGTAACTGTGGCATAGGGCTAATTTTAGTGGTTTTAACTCTAGCGTGGGGCTTAATTTAGCAGTTGTAACTCTAGTGTAGCTCAAACTTTAGTGTTTGTAAATCTAGCGTGGGGCTAAATTTAGCAGTTCAAACTGTAGCGCAGGGGTAATTTTAGTGGTTTTAACTCTAGCGTGGGGCTAAATTTAGCAGTTGTAACTCTAGTGTAGCTCTAACTTTAGCGGTTGTAAATCTAGCGTGGGGCTAAATTTAGCAGTTGTAACTGTAGCGTAGGTCTAATTTTAGTGGTTTTAACTCTAGCGCAGCTCTAACTTTTGCTGTTATAACACGAGCGCAGCTCTATCTTTAGCAGTTATAATTCTAGCGTAGCCCAAACTTTAGCGACGGTGGTCCTAAGGTCCACCTCAGCCTGTCAGCCTGCTCTGCGCTCCTCAGTGACCACCTGCTGCAGGTACCTGAGTCAAAACGCAGCTCTGTCCCTCGGCTCTGACGGTGTACTCTCCAGGGATCTTGCTCAGCTCCTCTTGCTGCAACAGCAGCCTGTTGCTCTGGCTCACAGTGAACTCCTTCCTCGGGCCTCCCACAGTCGTCACCGTCACTTTAGTGATTCCCTGTGGACTGTAGGTGGCGGCGGCGTACTTGGCCAGGGCCTGGAGGGCCACCACTGTGTCCTGTAAAGCAGAGCGGGTTTGGTCTCAGCTCTGGTTCCTTGAAGAACCTGGTTTCTCAGTAGCTGATGGATAGAAGCATGTGGTACCTGTGTGGAGGAGAAACCGCCGTACGGGTTCTGCTGTTGAGCGAGCCAGCGGATGATCCCTGAGGCGTAATCCAAACCAAAACCATTCAGTGGGGGAGAAGTGAGCAGGGCCAGCAGCACGTAGGAGGTCATCTCCACTGCTATAGAATCCATGCCGTTGACAGACGATTCAACTCTCTCCCAGTGAATGGTACCACCTGCCAATCAGGATACAGGAGTCATGACAGCAGGACCAAGCATATCTCAGTGAGGAAGATCACAGAAGGCCCACATAGTGACACCGTATCAGAATCCTGGCCATTAAAGCAGTTTAACCTTCATTAGTTTAAGATTCTACCTCCTACATTAGAAAAAAAGCTGGCGTTCTGTCGCTGCTCTCTTACCTTCCTTCTTGGCCTTCAGGTCCAGAATGCTAATCAGTTTGCTCCTCGTCTCCTGATCTCCAGCCAGGCTGAAGGTGTACGACATCAGGGCCGTGGTGTACAGGTTGTCGAAGCCTTTGACCACGGCATCCTTTAGACAACCCAGGCCCTTCTGCACCACGGGGTCCTGAGGCAAAGGAACCAAACATAAAGGCACCATGAGGCCCTCTTCTCTTGACAGCTTACTGAGACAATTACACCTAAAGTTCCAGTAAACTAAAAAAATAAGTTTCTTTCAACCTCACCTTCTCCAAATGCCTCACTAAACTAGTTTGAGAATAAAATCAACATGAAGTGGAGGCACAGAAAGGACTAAATGTGGAGCCGAGGGCAGTCTGACTCACCGTGGATCCTCCATTCAGCTCCAGCAGGGCAGCAACAATGTAAGCCGTCAGCGACACCTCGTCACTCACCCCTCCCTGTGGAAACCACATGGACAGCATGAGGACAGGCCTTGTGTCCCTCTGTGATGTCCCACTCTGGGACATATTAAGGAAAGAAGCAGTGTTTTTTCTGTCATGGCTGCTATCAGCTCACTGTTGTGTAGAAAGTGTTACTTCTGAACCAGAAGCAGATAGAAATAGAAGCTTCCAGACAGTTTTCTTTCAGTTTTTTGTTTTGGTAGAACAGGAAACTCAAACAGCAGTAATTAATTAATCTAAAATCCTGGGACGTCCTTATAAGTCCGTGAGGCAGACACCCTGTCTACTTTTAAGGCTAGGCTTAAAACTTTCCTTTTTGATAAAGCTTCTAGTTAGAGTGGCTCAGGTTATCCTGAGCTATCTCTATAGTTCTGCTGCTATAGGCTTAGACTGCTGGAGGACATAGGGACCCCTTTTTCATCATTCTGCTTCATTCTATCTCTATTCCCCCACTCTGCAGAATCTGTTAGTTCAATCTCTAACGTTCTGCTCTCTCTGCTTTTTCTCATAGTAGCTTCATCTGGTCTGTTCCTGTTTGGCTGTGACTCCATCCTGGAGAGAAATATCAGCTGTGCTGCTGCCATCAACACCTTTGTTTCTAGATGTTGGAGCTTGGCCTGTTTTCCAGTGTAGTCCTGTTTCTCTGACTGTGACTAACTGGATGTGCTCTCTTCATCCTCTGACATGGGAGCTGGCTCGGAGCTCGTCTGCCTGGCTGTGTGTTTCCTGGACGGGGCCGCCTGTGGAGCTGGTTGACAGTTGCCTTTTGTATCTATGCTTCTTTTTCTATCTCTGCTTCTGTCTCCTTGAACCCCAGTCGGCCTCAGCAGATGGCCGCTCACACTGAACCTGGTTCTGCGGCTTTTTCACAGCTAAAAAAATCAGAACACCGGGAAAACAACGCAACCAGTGTCAGTGGAACATGGCTGCTGCAGCAGCAGCATCTTTCACTCTGAAGCCGTCAAAATGTCTTTAAGTCTTTTCTAGCTGTGCTCAGACAGAGGTAAAGTCATCGAGGAACCAGGGACGAAGAAAAGGATCTTAAACCCTCCTACCTTCATGCTGTTGTGGAAGAGCTTCCCAACAGACATAAAACAGCCATCCTCGTTCTGCAGGCCGTACAGCCAGGTCCTGATGTCTTCTATCTGCTGCGGGTCAACGTAGATGTAATCTCTGGCGCCGCCAAATGACTTCATCACAAAAGCAGTAAGCCTGGAGAAACAAAAGAGCATCAGTCAGATCATGTGGGCCCTGAGAACGGCCCCAGCAGATCAGAGGCCCCTGAAACTCACATCCCATGAGAAAGGGGACGCTTCTGCACGGGGCTAAGCTGTTGTTCTGACTCTTTAAAATGAGTTCAAATCATTCTGGTTCAAAGTTTCTCTCCATTGTTCTTCAGCCTGAACGCCATGTTCATCCTAACAGTTTAACCGGAATTGATTCCTTGGTTTGTTGAGGATTTTCTGCAGTCTTTCCAGATTCAGGATTGTACTGCAGGATCAAAACGTCAAAAACTGATAGGAAATGAAGTAAAAATCTCTTTAAATAAATCTATCTCCTCTACGTTGAAGAAGTCCCTCTCCCACTGGGTGAAAACCCCGTTTAAATCTGGGAACAATGGGTTTTTAGTGGCGGTGGGAACAGCTCACGTGGGTCAATCAACACGGCAAACGACCCGCGTTAAAATCGCCTCGGACCCCAGAATCTGGTAGATCCGCTAAAATTACGCGTCACCATTGAACTGAACTTTCTGCAAAATAAAACTAAATAGAAAGGAACTTGTTTTTACAAAATGTTTACAAGAATGGCCAGGACGCTGCGCCAGGAAACTGCAAAAAATAGAAATATCAATAAGTAATTTTTTCTTACGATAAGTGCATTTTTCTTGAAGTGAAGTGAGGGGTAAGTGAGACATTAAACCAATGGAACAAGACAATTTACACTTAAAATAAGAGAAGAAAAACAATTGAATTGTCTTATTTCAAGTGCATTTCTAGTGCAGTAAAATATACTCATTCAATTCCCAAATCCTCTTATTAACCTCCTCAAATTAATGGTAAATACACTTAATTTCAGCATTTTTTTGCAGTGTAAAGATAACATTCAGGACCATAAACGGTTGATTTAGACAGTATAGATGTGCAAATATGTGTTTAGCTTCATGGAAATCTGGTTTGAAATATTTAAACTGGCGATGTTTTTCTGATGCTGGTTACTGTAGACAGACCCTGCACTGGAAAAAATATCTAGAAATAAGGAAAAATGTCTTAAATTAAGAGTATTTACCCTTAGGTAAATGAAATAGTTTGCCTTATTTTTACTGTTAAAATAAGACAATTAGATAAAATGCACTTGAAATAAGACAATGCAATTATGTTTTCTCTTTTTAAGTGTAAATTATCTTTTCTTATTGGCAAAATGTCTTTTTTTACTTCCTCAATCCAAGAACAAATTTACTTATTTGGTTTGAAATCTGGTTTAAATTATTTGGAAACTAGCAATGTTTGATGCTGGTTATTGTAGACAGACCCTGTGCTGCCTTTTGGAGCCTACACTGCAAAACATAGAAATCTCAATAAGTCATTTTTTTATTAAAATAAGTACATTTTTTCTTGAATTGAGGAATTAACTGAGACACTTTTCCAATGGAACAAGACAATTTACATTTAAAATAAGAAAACACAATTGCATTGTTTTATTTCAAGTGAATCATATCTAATTTAAAGTAAAATATCTTATTTAAAGTAAAAAAACGAATTCCGACTAACAAAAAGACAAAAAACTGCTGGCTACACTACTGCACTGGAAAAAATTTAAATCTAGATAAGCAATTTTTTTCTTAAATTAAGTGCATTTATTCTTGGATTGAGGAGGAAAAAAGAGAAATTTTGTCAATGGAACAAGACAACTTCCGCTTAAAATCAGACAACACAATTGCGATGTCTTATTTCAAGTGCAAATTATCTAATTATCTAATTTTAAGAGTAAAAATACTCATTCCACTGGCAAAGTATCTAATTTACCTACTAAAATTAAGGGAAAATACACTTAATTTAGGTAATTTTAACTTATTTCTAGATGGTTTTTCCAGTGTGGCTGCCAGTAAGAAGGCCATCACAAGGAAATGGATGAAACCAGACCCACCCACTATTGAAATTGTTTACCAGATTTATGTGATGGAGAGGATCTGCTTTTCCCTCCAATTAGAAAAAGAAAAATATTATAAGATTCGGTCCAAATGGACTGAGTATGTGAAACCAATTAGATCCGACATCATTTGATTGTTCTTCTGAAATATGTCTAGCCCTCGTATTTCTTTGTGTTTTTTAATATTCGAGGTGGTGAAATCCCCATTACTGTTTAATTCTGTTTATTTTGTTAACTTTATAATTAAGTTAGTGATATTCTGCAAAAAATACCAGAAAGGCAACATGGACTAAACTTAAATGGATGAAGCTGTGATTACTGATGTGATGGAAATCTGTCTTTCTAAATAAAAAAAATAAATAAATAATTCCATCAGCAAATCATCGTTTTTACCTTCTCAAATGAAAGCTAAATACACCTAATTTAGGATTTTTTTTTACTTATTTCTAGATAATTTTTGCAGTGTAGAATAAATTCAAACGGCGAGTTGATGATGAGTAGAAGTAGGACTGAAACTCGCCGCCGCGTTCAGGAACCCTGATCTGCTTTGCAATGCGTCACTGCAGCTAAAAGCTTTAGGCCCAGTTTCTCCCAAATTCAAGAAAAGAGAACCCCCCCCCAGGAACAAACACCCCCACATTCACCGACTGCCAAGCTGCCCAGCCCCCTTTCTGCTAAATCCCCCCCGGGCAGCTGCTGCTTTAAGCCCATTAAATGAAAATATTGTGGTTTTCCGGAACCTTCCTAATAAAACTAATGTATCAGTATACTTGCTTTTGGCAGCAGTGTGTGTTTGCTGGTGTTGGGGGGGGGGGGGGTCCTCCCACTGTGTCTGCATTGCATTTTTTTGTTCTCTTGTCACATGAAGCCAGAGATATGAGAAGCGAACCTTTGGGATAAATGTTTTAAATGCTTCTCGAATGATGCAACTTCAGTCTAACACCGGTTTGAGCTCCATGTTTCCACCCCAAATAAAAAAGAGAGGTAAAAAAAAAAATAAAAAATCAGAGACACGAGACGGATTTACTCAATAAAACCATGTTTACTCATCTTAAACGTATTCAGAGCATGGATGGGAAAGCGTGGATTTATCACCATAAGTGATGGTCGTGCTGTGTTGGTGTCGGTGTTGCATTAAATATTGGAGCCTCATGTTAGTTTAACCCTTTACAGGACGCTCAGTGAAATACTTTGAAAATCCAAATTTCAAGCCAATAGTCTTAATGGAATCCAGGACCAGACCTTATTACTTTTGTAACATTAAAAAAATATGGATATTTTGATGGTAAAAATTAATGTTAATGTACAAAGCAAAAAATTTAAATCTAAGTAAGTTTATTTTTCTTAAAATAAGAGCATTTTTTTCTTGTATTAAGCAGGTAAATGATACACTTTGCTAATGGAATAAGGCAATTTACATTTAAAATCGTAGGGACTTTACACAAGTGAATAGAGTGGATGTGATTGGTCGATTATCAAGGGGGCGGGATGTTTGTGGTGGAAAGTTCACAGGCAGGTTTGGTTGTGGCCGCTGTAGGTACCAGATTGACTCGGGCTGCCAGATTGACTCGGGGGCCTGCGCCTTTTGATGACGTCACAATACATAATTGTTTTAACGTTTGCACAATTGCGCAAAACATTTTGATTGGTCTGGACAGCTTACTAAAGTAATTATAGCGGGGTGTAGGTTTTATTCGAAAGCGGGATTGCGGTTTGTAAACGGACAATTTTACGAAGAAATTCTCCATGGTCGCTGCGCCTCCCGATGACGTCACCGAATTCGCCATGGGTCTTGCGCCTCCCGATGACGTCACATTATGGCAACGCCACTCAAACAAACTACATTGAGCCCGCGGTCTGCATTTGTAACGAGAATAAATTCAGGAGAATGAAGCTAAAGGGATACAAAAAATAAACTTGTAATATTACAAAAACAAAAATACTACGAATACAAAGTATATTCAGAGATTAAAGTCCCTCTGATACTGTTTAAGTGACTGAGAAACTGCAGATTTGCCACATTTAAGATGGCGGACGCTCTGACGCATCTCAGCATAGGCAGATCCCGCCCAATGACGCGTCTACGTCATATAATGTCTGTGGCAGTGCCAAACGATAACCGTTTATTGGCTAAATAAAATAGATTTGTGACAAATAGAGACCGCGGGCGCAATGTAGTTTGCTTGAGTGGAGTTGCCATATCGTTACGAGTGGCGTTGCCATATAGTGACGGGCGGAGTTGCCATATTATGACGTCATCAAAAGGCGCAGGCCCCCGAGTCAATCTGGTACCTACACCGGTTTGTCGGAAGCATCTTGCTAACCAGTTAGCATCTTAGTGCTAGCAGGTTCCCAATGGGAAATTCCATTGGGACCAAGTAGCACTAAATTGGTGACATGCAAGAGGAGGAGAGTTTAGTGTCGGAGGTCGTGGATGAGTCTCCTCCGTCATCCATTTTTTATTTAGAGGAGGAAAGCGGGGACGAAGATGTTGTGGAAGAGGACGCCAGGGCGGCAGAAGCTTGGTTTGGTGTAGAAGACTTCCAGCCGTACATGTTTGAGCCCTTGCCTCGCAACGCTGCCAGTTCTGTTATATCCGTTGCGTATATTAGCTGCGACATATAAAGCAAGATTCTATGACCGAAAAAATTTGATTGACAGATGACCGTTGATATGATTGGCTGACTTTAGGTGTTCAGGCTGACGTAGAACTAACTGGCCTGCAGAAGATAATAGGAAAAATCCCCCACAGATTTTAAGACAGGATTTCTTTTAAATAGAAATTTTCTAACTTTTGGGACAATATGGTCTGATAAAGAGAACATTTCTATACAAGTTTAAGCCAGAATTATTTGACATTTAAATATGATTTCCCTACGACTTCACTGCAAAAAATCTAAATCTAGATAAGTCAGTTTTTCTTAAAATAAGTGCATTTTTTCTTGACTTGAGGAGGTAAAAGAGACATTTTGCCAATGGAACAAGACAATTTACACTTAAAATAAGAAAACACAATTGGGTTGTCTTATTTCAAGTGCATATTATCTAAGTATCTTATTTTAAGAGTAAAATTACTCATTCCATTGGCAAACTATCTCGTTTACCTACTCAAATTAAGGGTGAATACACTTAATTTAAGACATTTTTACTTATTTCTAGATGTTTTTGCAGTGTTTAAAATAAGAAAAAAACTATTGTAGTCTCTTATTTCAAATGAATAATATATCATTATCTTATTTTATACTTATTTTAAGAGTAAAAATGCTCATTACAACGGCAGATTATCTTATTTACCTGCTCAAATTAAATACAATTAATTTAAAAAAGTTTTACTCATCGTTTTTGCAGTGTAATAACAATCCATGCAAGTGATGAAAACTGCTAACTGGCCTATAAAGGGTTAAATCATTTATCTTTAGTCGCAGCCTAAAAAGAGCTGCTGATTGTTACTGACCAGGTGTTTCCAGAGGGGTCGCTGTTCCCGAAGGCGCTGTAGGAGCTGTCGTCACGCTTGTAGTTCAGCTGCCTCTGATATCCTGCAACAAAGACAGAGAGCAGCAGCTCTTCAAACAGCTCCTTCTCCCGCCCCACTGGACAATGATGGAGTTTTTCTTTGGTTCTGAAGCTCCCCGGAGCCTCGGACCTCAAAGCTCCCATCGTTTGCCACGCTCCAACCTCTAATTCATCCTTTTTATACTGACAAAATAAAGATGAGCAACACTGAATTCTCACACTTTTCAGAGATTTTTCTGTGTTTATAGACAGAAAAGGAAAAGTTGTGTTTCTGCAGTCATCTATACTGCACCAGAAAAAATCAAAAACTAGATAAGTCATTATTTCTTAAAATAAGCGCATTTGTTCTTGAATTGAAGAGTTAAAAACGACATTTTGCCAATAGATCAAGACAATTTAGATTTAGAATGAGAAAACAAAATTGCATGCACTGCAAAAATGACCTAGAAAAAAGTAAACATTTCTTAGATTAAGTGTATTTACCCTTAATTTTAGTAGTTAATTAAGATGATTTGCCAATGGAATGAGTCTTTTTATTCTTAAAATAAGATAATTAGATACTATGCACTTGAAATAAGACAATGCAATTGTTTTTTCTTATTTGAAATGTAAATTGTCTTGTTCCATTGGAAAATGTCTCTTTTAACTCCTCAATTCAAGAGCAAAAGCACTTATTTTAAGAAAAAATGACTTGGATTTTTTTCCAGTGTTGCAGCGTAATTAAACATCTAATGAGGATTAATGAAGGCTGTGGTTCCATCGAGCAGAGTAGAGGAATTCAGGAAGACTTCTCACCGCTCTCCAGGAAGTGCTTGGCCTTCTGCAGGATGGCGTCGGTCAGCTGGCCGGAGCTTTTCAGGTAGTTCAGGATAAAGATGTTTGGAGCGAACAGCAACATGTTCTGCTCCCCGCAGCCGTACGGCATGGCCAGCAGCTTATCCAGGTTCTGCAGGGCCCGGCCCATCAGGTCACCTGCAGGAGGGGGGGTCTGATGTCATTACCGTGGCCAACGTGAGCCTGCAGGCGTGGCAGTGCTTCGTCACTTCATCACCTACCCAGGACAGAAACGGTGGCTCTGGCCGACCCGGCCACGAACCTAGCAGGCAGCAGCAGAGAGATCTTCCTTTCCACCGGACCATCTGGGAGCAGATGTTAAAAAATAAACACAGATTAGTCGAAAGGTTTCTCCAATGAGACCATCATGCTTTGAGGCGCTGACCTGCAGGACACAGCAGGGCGTTGTGGCTCTTCATCTGAGGGGTTCCTTCAGCCTGACAGAGACAGGAGAGAACAGCGATTACCCAGAACCTTGGAGTGAAAATAAAGCAAACTGTATCTGCATGAAGAGTGAAGAGCATAAAAATGTAGAAATAAAGCAGATTCCAGGCCTGCGGAATTTAGGAGAAGGAAAGATGGCCGACAGCTCCACCAAACAAATCACTGAATAAGTAAAAATCTGAAACCTTCTCATCTAACATCACATTGCAGAATACTGTATAAATATAGGAAAACAAAGCTTTATTATTTTCACTGAGTGTCTATGAGCATTTAGAGGAAAACGTGATTTAGATTATTGAATAAACTTTTCTTGTGCATTGGAAAAAATCTAAGTAATTTTTTCTTGAATTGAGGAGGTAAATGAAACACTGCAAATGAAATAAGACAATTTACATTTAAAATTAAAATAAAAAAACTAGTGCATTGTCTTATTTCAAGTGCATATTATCTAATGATCTTATTTTAGAGAAAAAACACTCATTCTATTGGCAAATCATCTTATTTACCTGCTCAAATGAAGAGTAACTACACCTAATGTAAGAAATGTTGACTTATTTCTAGATCATTTTTGGAGTGTAGACTTCTAACGCTGGAAGAATGGATTCAATGACCGCCTTTAAAGGAAAAGTCCGGTCATACACTGGAAAAAATCGAAATCTAAATTAGTCATGTTTTCTTAAAAAATGTGTATTTGATCTTGGATTGAGGAGGTAAAAGACACATTTTTCCAAAGGAACAAGACAATTTACATTTAAAATAAGAAAACACAATTGCATTGTCTTATTTCAAGTGTATTTTATCTAATTAACTTATTTAAAGAGTAAAAATACTCATTCCATTGGCAAACTATCTCATTTACCTACTGAAATTAAGGGTAAATACACCTAATTTAAGAAAATGTCACTTATTTGTAGATCGTTTTTCCAGTGTATCCTCAATTCAAACTTCTGAAAGTACTTTAAATATGAAATTATTAAGCCTTTTAATTCAGAGTAATTTTCATGTGAATGTGCTTTACTGGAGGCATCCATGTTTGTCAAAGAACACTACTGCCACGTACTGGTTAGTGACATTGTCACGGTGCGGTATCGGCTGTTGATCAAGTCCCAGTGCTGTATCTGGTGTTTGTCACAACGCGCTATTATCCAAATCATCTTGAAAACATTCTTCTTCCAAATGTTGGCTACATATTACGGGTTTTTTCTCTGGCCAGAAGTTCGATGGCAAATCCTCCCTCTTCAAGTTGGCGATCCAACGACCAACCCGTCCGTGGAGGATCAGGAATCAGAAAGGTGGAATAACTCTTTATTTTCACTTTTACCCGATGTATTCCAGCATCCAGCTGCCATGCACGTGGGCATTGTCAGTTTCACTATAGCTCTGGTGAATTTCAATGGTGAAGTCCTCTGGAAATCTTCAATAATTGTTGTTGATTGCAGATGTGTCTAGTAGTTCCCATTGATTTTGCTTGTAAAGCGGGGAGAATGGCGCTAGGCTTACCAAACCGTGACGTCACTGCCGGATTATTTTTAAAACATTTTTAATGATTAAGGCTAAATTCATTAAATCACTGCAAACGTATTAGTTTTAGGTATAAATAATTATCCTTTGATTATTCCCTGCTGACCGGACTTTTCCTTTAGTTCTTGTTTTATCATTTAATTCCTGTTTTTTTTTTTTTACTCCATTGTTGAACAGGAAAGGAAGCTTTGACTTTCACTGACCTCCACCAGCAGAGTTTGGATCACCGTGTCGATCCGGCCAGCTTTTGGCACCGTGGTCACCTCATTGCCACACAGAGCGAGGTTCCTCAGGGCCTCAGCGCTGACCGTCAGGTTCACAGCGCCTGTGTACACAGACACACACAGACAGACGCAGGGGGGGGGTTAATCGATTCCCACCTGTCAGCGGTGTGTACAGAGGAAAGACGGCTTCCCATCTGCTCCTCCAACCGACTCATTACCCTTCCTGTCCCGTCATCCTTCCTCTGTTTTCCTTCCTCCTCCTGTTTACCCGCTCATTAATCCCCATTTGTTGCCTTATTATTCCATGTCTCCATGCAGCTCTGTTTCCCAGGCCCTCCCTCGCTTCCTTCACAGCCCACCATTCTTCACACGGAGGACAAGTACAGATCAGCCCCTCAGGGAGAGGTTTCTGACTGTTTCGTCAGAGATACTACCTGACTTGTTAGTACAAGTGATTGTCAGCATCCCTCTGAGGGGGGGGGAGTTAGAGTATTGCGGTTTGACATTCATCAGAACCCCCGTCTCCATCCCCGCTGACGGAGGCTGATGGGAATCCTCGGCTTCCAGGCCAGCGAGGCAGCGCCGCGGAACACAGCCTCTGCTTCCCGCAGCACGCGCTCCCGCTCCGTCAGCGCCGTCAGGAGATTTAATTAGTCGCTCTCAACCAGATTTCAGTCGCAAACTGATGGACGGAGAATGACGTCGACATTTCATTTAATGAAATGCAGAGAATGGTTAGTGGTGACGGAGGATTCAGGTGATGAGAGCGGCTTACATGGTCAACAGGGTTTCCAATATTTATGAATATTCTAGATTAGTTTGGTTTAAAAAAATAAATCACATAAAAAGAAAATAGATGTTTTGATGACAGGCAGAGACAGTAAGTAAGCTTTCCTGAACCAGAACTGTAGTCCATCAGGAACAGTCTGTCCTAACAGCCTGAGCAACTCCGGTTTAGTCTGAAGGTGCATCATTTAACCAGCTACTAAACTTAACTCGCTCTAAACCGTGTTCTGCAAGGCTCTGTGTAGAAAAAGGAAGACTGGAAAAAAATAAATCTAAATAGCTAATTTCTATCTTAAAGTAAGTGCATTTTGTCTTGAATTGAGGAGGTAAGAGACACTTTGTCAATGGAACAAGACAATTTACATTTAAAATAAGAACAAAAACGATTGCATTGTCTTATTTAAAGTGCTTTTTATCTGATTATCTTATTTTAAAAATAAAAATACTCATTCATTTGGCAGATCATCTTTTTCACCTGCTCAAATTAAGGGTAAATACACTTAATTTAAGAAATGTTAACTTACATCTAGATCATCAAAACACTAAACCAGACAGCAAAAAATGGAAATCTAAATAAGTCAATTTTTTTTAAATTAAGTGCATTTTTTTTAATTGAGGGAAATGAGACACTTTGTCATTGAAACAAGACAATTTACATTTTAAATAAGAAAAAACAACAACTTCATTGTCTTATTTAAAGTGCATTTTATCTTATCTTATTTTAAGAGTAAAAACACTCATTCTATTGGCAAATTATTTTATCTACCTCCTAAAATTAAGGACAACCACGCTTGATTTCAGACATTTTACTTCATTCCAGATCGTTTTTTTGCAGTGCACTGATGCTAAACAGCAAAAATGTTCAGAAAATGACTAAATATTTCTGAAGGGTATTTACCTTTAATTTTAGTAGAAAAAAAGATGATCTGCCAATGGAAAGAGTATTTTTACTCTAGAATAAGATAATTAGATAACATATGAGAATGGCGGCCAAGTGGTTAGGGTAGTGCGCTTGGAATCTGGAGACTCTGAGTTGGAAAACCACTCCCACAGACTGAGCTAATACCTTTAATCCCACACTGCGCTAGCCTCGTGAGTCCGTCCTGATCTCGCCAGCTTTCAAGATTTCACTCGCAGATCGGTCTGGAGACTCTCCGTTAAAGAAAATTTGGAGCCGTTCACCAAACCAACGTCCAATCAGCGTTGGCTTTGAGGCGGGTTGAGGTGTGACGCAACGAGAAGCGCAACAGTTCAGTCTAAAGAACATGGCGGCTTCAGCCGATGAAACTAGCGTTAGCGTGGCTATGGAGCAAGTTTTATCAGAATTACAGAGTATTTCTTCACTGAAAGAAGAGCAAAACTGCCTTGGAGCTCGTCTGCCTGGCTGTGTGTTTCCTGGACGGGGCCGCCTTTTACAGCTGCTTTTTGTATCTCTGCTTCTGTCTCCTTGAACCCCAGTCGGCCTCGGCAGATGGCCGCTCACACTGAGCCTGGTTCTGCTGGAGGTTTCTTCCTGTTAAAAGGGAGTTTTTCCTCTCCACTGTCGCTACAAGCATGCTTAGTGTGAGGGATTGTATTTGAGTCAATGAGTCAATGCAATCAACTGGTTTTCCTTAGATAGAAAACTTTGTATCAATTTGACTGTATGATCTGGTTGAACTGTAAAGTGCCTTGAGATGACATGTGTTGTGAATTTGGCGCTATATAAATAAACTGAATTGAATTGAATTGAAAACACTGCTCTGGAGGCTTTTCTCAGAGGAAAAGATGTTTTTGCTCTTCTCCCGACTGGTTTCGGCAAGAGTAGCCTGGCTTGTAGTTGTGTTTTCGTCGTCGCTCTGTTAGTACGTCATATGCTTCGTTGATCTGATTGGTTTATTTGGCCCGTCTATCACCAACATAGGCCAATCAGCTAACCAGTATTTTCGCCCCTTCCCAAAATTACTTCTACGGAAGGTTTCCTACGGTGGCCCTGAAGTGCAAACTGCAACTACAAATCTAAAAGCGCAACTACATTGAGGAAATCGCAACTACATAAAGCAAAGTGCAACTACATTAAGAAAAACACAATTACATTAACCTACCGGAAAAGGTAGGTACCAGTGGGAAACATGAGACATCGCTGATTGGACGACGGCGCCGTTTGACCCTTGAACCGGAAGTCATTCTGCCTGCTGCGCCTTTTGAAACATGGATATTGTCGGCGCCCCAAACATAGCTGCCGTTATCCGGGAATATTTTGAATCAGGACATACGTACGAGGTGATACTGGATATGCTCAAGACTAATCACAAAATTTCAGTTAGTTTGCGTACACTGAAGACACACTTAAAAGAAGCTGGACTGTTCAGACGACGCAACTTCCAGTTCAAGGGTCAAACGGCGCCGTCGTCCAATCAGCGATGTCTCATGTTTCCCACTGGTACCTACCTTTTCCGGTAGGTTAATGTAATTGTGTTTTTCTTAATGTAGTTGCGATTTCCTTAATGTAGTTGTGCTTTTAGATTTGTAGTTGCAGTTTGCACTTCAGGGCCACCGTAGTTTCCAGATGGATATGCGGAGCAAATCCATCTGGCGGAGTCAGGTTAAGACTGCTCACCAGGAGCCGCACAATGGCAGCCCAGATAGTTCATTTAGTTGCTTTGTACTTGTCACAGTGTAATAACAATAAAACTCTGGAAAAAATATGCATTTGAAATAATAACAATATTATATGCTTTTCTTATTTTAAATGTAAATTGTCTTGTTTCATGGAGTGTCTCACTTACCTTCTCAATTCAAGAAAAAAATGACTTATTTACATTTCAATGTGTTTTTTATTTATGGAGCAGAGACTGAGGCTCATGAACTCCAGCATCCTTCACCAAGTCTGAATCCAGACTAAACTAAAGCAAATATGTTTGTCTGTAAAGTGATCCACTGTATTTATTTTCCGTATTAGTTGGTAATATAGTGGGTAATAGTGAGCAGTGCGATGTTACCCAAAGCGGTCGGAGTCACAATCCAGGAGAAGGTCTTGCTCTCATCTCCACACAGACAGCTGGTGTATTTGCAGCCTTCGCAGTCTCTGTCGGTGTACTGATTCGAACCGGCCAAAGTTGCTTTGACCTGTTAATAGAACCAAACCTTAATGAACAGCACAGCCGCCATTCTCTGTCTCAATAAAATGGCTGCCCGGCTCCATCAGTAACTACCATGATGCACTGGGAGAGGTAGTTGAAGACGGTGGCTTTCAGCGTGAACACCTCCCCTCTGATGACGGAGTAAGGCAAGGTGAGGCTGACGAAGAACGGCTGGAAGGCGGTGAGCCCGGTGTTGGGCGACACGCCGAAGCCACTGGGGGAGACGCAGAAGGCGCTGGCCGCCCACTTGGTGATGGTGTCAGGGACCGTCTTCTGCAAGCTGGCCGTGCCGCCGTCTCTGCAAATGGAAACACGCAGAGATTTCAGACACATTTCTATCAAATTTTTTCAAACAAAAAAAAAACACCAAACATAAACAAACCTCTTTGTTTTAAACAAAAGCTGCTCATGACTAAAACCTTTGAATCAGCTCAGCCTGGAGGTAAAGGACCTTTTTATCCGACTCTACTCCGTTTGAAGACCTTTCCATCCAAACCCTCGCCTCACTCATCCTCCTCATTCCTGCTTGAATATTTCCTCATATTGATGCTCCTCTGTCTAATCTAAGATCCCTTCCTCCTTATTAAACACTCTTCCTGTGGATGAGACCTTATCACCAAACATAAAGCTTAAACCTCTGCCTGATCTATAGCATACACTGCAAAAAAAAAAAAAAAAAAATTAAATCTAAATAAGGCATCCTTATTTTAAATTAAGTGCATTTTTTCTTGAACTGTGGAGGTAATTGAGACACTTTGCCAATGGAACAAGACGATTTCCATTGAAAATGAGAAAAAAACAACAGCATTGTCTTATTTCAAGTGCATAATACTTAATTATTTCATTTTAATGGTAGAAAAAAATACCCATTCCATTGGCAAATCATCTTATTTACCTAATCAAATTAAGGGTGAATACACTTGATTTAAACAATTTTTTAAACTAATTTTTAGATCTTTTTTGCATTGTAACCTTCATCCCAACAGAAACTGCTTGCTGTGGAACACTGTAAAAAAAATGGAAATCTAAGTGCATCTTTTTCTTGAACTGAGTAGGTATGTGAGCCGCTTTGCCATTGAAACAAGACAATTTACATTTAGGATAGGAAAAAACAACAGAATTCTCTTATTTCAAGTGGATATTATCTACTTCTCTGATATTAATGGTAAAAATGCTCCTTCCATTGCATCATTTTATTTTGCTACTCAAACTAAGGGTAAATACACTTGATTTAAGACATTTTTACTCATTTTCTGAACGTTTTTGCAGTGTACGGTCTATCCCACAGCCAGATATGAAAAACCTTTTATTATTAAAAATAAACAACTAAATGAAGTAAAAAAAAATATATATAAAAAATTCAGGAATCTGCTGTATCATTTATCCTAAAGTCGTAGGGAAGCGGCTGTTCCAACGGTTGCATTTCCAAATTCTCCAGAGTGGTGCACGACTTTACTAACCTGACTCCGCCAGATGGATTTGCTCCGCATATCCATCTGGAAACCTTCCGTAGAAGTAATTTTGGGAAGGGGCTAGGGCTGGGATTCCGGTACCAATACCGATACCTTCACTTCGATACCGGTTCCTGATCGATACTTTTTTCGATACCAGTTTTATAATATCAATTCAAAGAAAAAGAAAATTACACAACATAAAGTAAAAATCTTGAGTTTTATTTTAAGCTCTGATTTTTCCATTTACATTTTTCCTCTTACATAAAAAAAAGTCTAATATTCACTGTTACATTGTGAGGACCTTTTTACTTAGCAGTTTTCCTTTAGAAAAATTACCATGTCTGACAAACAAGCCCGTTGAATGGGATCCTACTGACAGCGCACCGCTGGTATGTGGGGGTCTGAGCGGCTCCCACAGAAATAATATTGGAAGGCTGATATGGATGAACTGACTGCACTGACTAAGTTTTCAGGTGGATTTTCCGACTTAAAGACATAATAAAACTACTTTATTCCCACTGATCACAGCAAATATAGCTGCAAGGCAAAGAAAGGATAGAGTAGCTCCGCCCAACGCGCGTCAGAGCCACTTTTCGACCGCGCAGCCAGAGCAGCAAAGCTGCTTCAGCTGCGTGTCAGAAGCTGGTACAAGCAGCAAAAAGGAAGCAGCAGACGTGATTTTGCTGCTCCTGCTGCGTCCAGTTTGAAAGCAGCATGATTCACTCCGCTCTGGCTTTGCTCCGCCCGCGGGCTGCTGAGAGGAGGATGGTCGCGCCGGCTGCGGTCCGCTCTTCTTGGAGTCAAACACCAAGCAACTTTCTGCTCTTAAATTGTTTCCGTGCACGATGTATTGCATTGCGCACTATTGGCATCAGTCTTAATAAAGTAAAGCCGCACTTTTGACCTGGGGGGCATTTTAAAGGGGTTCCACAACGCTCGCAACCAGTTCACAACAGATACACATCAACCCTGGCTGTAGGCGTGACCACCTGTGTATTTTTCCTGGATGACGCAATCACGTTAAGTGTTACAGCCAATCACCGAAACTTGGTACCGAAAGACGAGGCATGTTTCGATACTTTGTAGAACCGAAGCATTTCGGTCGGTACCATAAAAGAACCGAAGTTCGGTACCCAGCCCTAGAAGGGGCGAAAATACTGGTTAGCTGATTGGCCTATGTTGGTGATAGAGGGGCCAAATAAACCAATCAGATCAACGAAGCATATGACGTACTAACAGAGCGACGACGAAGAGGAGCCAATTGATAGATCAAACTCTTTGCCAAAAACATCTTTTCCTCTGAGAAAAGCCTCCAGATCAGTGTTTTGCTCTTCTTTCAGTGAAGAAATACTCTGTAATTCTGATAAAACTTGCTCGATAGCCACGCTAACGCTAGTTTCATCGGCTGAAGCCGCCATGTTCTTTAGACTGAACTGTCGCGCTTCTCGTTGCGTCACACAAATTTCCTTCAATGGAGAGTCTCCAGACTGATTAGTGAGTGAAATCTTGAAAGCTCGCGAGATCAGGATGATCTCACGAGGCTGCGACTTTACACGAGTGAACAAAGTGAATGTGATTCGTTATTTATCAAGGGGGCGGGATTGTTGTGGCAGAAGGTTCACAAGCATTTTGGTTGTCGCAGGTGTCTCGGAAGAATCTTGCTAACAAGTTAGCAACTTAGTGCTAGCAGGTTCCCAATGGGAAATTCCATTGGGACATGTTAAACCGTGTAAACATGTAAGAGGAGGAGAGTTTAGTGTCGGAGGTCGTGGATGAGTCTCCTCCGTCATCCATTTTTTATTTAGAGGAGGAAAGCGGGGAGGAAGATGTTGTGGAAGAGGACGCCAGGGCGGCAGAAGCTTGGTTTGGTGGGCTTCCAGCCGTACATGTTTGAGCCCTTGCCTCGCAACGCTGCCAGTTCTGTTAGCTCTACGCCTGCCGAAGACACAGACGTCCATCCCCGTGAACACTGGGACGCAACTCAATGGGAAAGGAAAGGATTCTGATTTCAAACGTTGCGTATATTAGATGCGACATATGAATCGAGATGGTATGAGCAAAGAAATTAGATTTACAGATGAACTTTGATATATGATTGGTCGAATTTAGGTGTTCAGGCTGACGTAGAACTAACTGGCCTGCAGAAGATAACGAAAAAACAAACAACAGACTTTAAGACACGATTCTTTAAAAGGTTCATTTAAAAATTATCCCAAAATTTTTCTAAATTTTGGGATATTATCGTCTGATAAAGAGTACATTTATATACATGTTTAAGCCAGAATTATTTGACATTTAAATATGACTTTGGCTCCATTTCTGGCTACTTCTACAAAGACATGAAAGAGAAGAGGGAACTATAAAGTCATTCTGTTACTGTACTCACCCCACAGAGACCAGGTCCCAGATCCATGTCTCAGGGAAGTCTTTTCTAATTGTCTCTGTAGCTTCTCCAACTTGAGATCTAAATAGTACTTGCATCTCATTTTGCAATGGAAGAGCCTCTGGCATTCCTAAATAAAGTGTAGAATATCACAGTCACTGCCTTCAACTTAAAGGTTGGACAGAACAACAAGAAGCGGCCAAACATACCGTTAAACTTAAACAGCGAGCAGTTCTGGGGCTTTTTCACATCGAAGTTTGTCATGATTTTGACTCCGATGCCCTAGAAGACACAGGCAGAACGAAATCCTGAAACACAGCAGGAGGCTGACGGTGGACTAGCTTAGTGAGAGGATATCCATAATGAGAGACACAGAGCAGCAAATCTTTACTTTAAAGGCGCTGTAGGCATCAATCTTCTGATAGAACGGATTAAAGAAGAAGGATCGCTTTTTCCGACCGAGTCGTTCGTCGGCCTCAGGTTCAACTGCGGCCTGCAGATCCGGGACTGGCCTGGGGACCGGCCCGGAGAAGCAGGGGTACAGATCGTGGTCATCCACATCGTAGTCGTACCCCCACAGTTGCTGTACAGGCAGCTGGCTGAACACCTGTTGGCACGAGGAGAAGAGTCTAAACCTTTGGAGGATTGTTATACGTTTAAAAAACCAAACGCTCAACCAGACGCCGGCGGTCGTACGGAGTCAACGGTGAGCTCCTGCTCCGGTTTCAGCAGCAGGATGCTCTGGTCGATGGCTCGGACAGAGCACAGGGATTTAGGGTTGGCATTCAGTGTCAGAGTGGTCTTCTCCGCTGGAAGCTGCTGAACGGAGGAGAACTTCAAGGACACCTGGTGAGAAACCAGTAAGATGGGTGTCAGGGGAGCCCTGTTTTTCTATGTGGCGGCTTGTTTGGCGTTCCTTACCTTGTTATTGAGGCAGAGCTGAATGGGGTAGTCCTGACTGTCTGCCACCATCTCCCCATTGGCCATCACAAAGTAAACAGACACCTGAGCAACTGGTGCCAGCTCCATCACCTGACTCAGGCTGAAGCTCAGCTCCCCTTTGTTGACTGGGGACGGATGCCATTGAAGAAAAAAGTGAAAATTACATAAAGAAAGGAAAATATTTACTTTTTTTTGCTAATTAGCCAAAAATCACACTGGAAAAAATCAAAATACGTCATTTTTTCTTAAAATAAGTGTGCTTTTTCTTGAACTGACAAATGAATTGGTTTTATCAAGTCAATCGTCTCTACTTTAACGTCGTAACTAAGCGGCTGTAAAACTGTTAATCTCCGATCATCTTAATTAGCTGAGTTTTTTCCTACCAGCTCCTGGTTGCACCATCACCGGGACTTGACCATGACGCACAACTGCACCTTTGGACATCACCTACAGAAACAGAACATGTAAGCAGAAAAAATGCTTTTACTGCACATCTTTTAAACTCATAGTTAAAAGGCGGAATACAAAAACACTCTTTTAATCGATGATTAATCAAATAAATCCTTGATTTAAATCTGTTACCTTTTACTGCGGATTCTAATTTTGTGAATTTTAACGGCAGTGAAGTAATTAAAGGTACGTCGTTTTAGTTTTTTTATAGATAAACTGAAGGAAAAATTTGTGCAAACCAACTAACAGCTGCATGGCTCTAAATGTCAAAACTAGTAAGCAGCTCAGTTCAGAACCATTCAGATAACTAAGGATGTTTAAAAAAGAAACATTTTCTTTTAGAGCAGCGGATTGTTGAAATCTGAACTATATTAACAGCTCTGGGGACATAAAAAGGGTCATTACTAAAGCATGGCTCTGTTGCAGCTGCAATCATGGTCGCAGAAAAGAGAAGAGAAAGACGCTACACTATCGCAGAGGGAAAAAAAAAATCGAAATCTAGAGAAGTAATTTTTTCTTAAAGTACGTGTATTTGTTCTTGGATTGAGGAGGTAAAACAGAGATTTTGCAAATGAAACAAGATAATTTATACTTAAAATAGAAAAACACAATCGCATTGTCTTATTTCAAGTGCGTTTAATCTAATTATCAGAGTAAAAAAACTCATTCCATTGGCAAACTATCTCATTTACCTACTCAAATTAAGGATAAAAACACTTAATTTAAAACATTTTTATGTCTAGATCGTTTTTCCAGTGTTTCTTTTTACTGCAAAATTCCTTCAGTCATTTTTTTTCTTAAATTAAGAGAATTTTTTTCTTGATTTCAGTAGGAAAGTGAGACACTTTACCAATGAAAGACGATTATTTACATTTAAAATAATAAAAAACAATTGCATTGTCTTATTTCAAGTGCATAATATCTCATTATCTTATTTTAAGAGTAAAAATACTCATTCCATTGCAAATCATCTTATTAACCTACTCAGGTTAAGGGTAAATACACTTAATTTAAGAATTATGTATTTCTAGATTGTTTTTTTCAGTGCTAAGTTACACTGCAAAAACAATCCTGAAATAAGTCAACAATTCTTAAATCAAGTGTATTTACCCTTAATTTGATCAGGTAAAAATTATGATCTGCCCATGGAATGAATATTTTTACCCTTAAAATAAGATTATTGGACACTTGAAATAAGTAAATGATTTTTTTTTTCTTATCTTAAATGTAAATTTTCTTGTTCCAATGGCAAAGTGTCTCACTTACCTCCTCAATTCATGACCAAATGCACTTATTTTAAGCAAATACAACTTAATAAGATTTCAATGTTTTGCAGTGTATTAGTTAATTCAGCTGAATATTTTGTGTTTAAAGTTTCTACAACCATTGATTAATAAATGGGTCGTCCGTTCTCTTACCAGCAGTGGTTCACTGGAAAAACCATCTAGAAATAAGTAAAAACTTTTTAAATTGAGTGCAATCCAAGAACAAATGCAGTTTTAATTTTTTCCAGTGAACACACTTAATTTAAAACATTTTTATGTCTACATCGTTTTTCCAGTGTTTCTTTTTACTGCAAAATTCCTTCAGTCATTTTTTTCTTAAATTAAGAGCATTTTTTTCTTGATTTGAGGAGGAAAGTGAGACACTTTACCAATGAAAGACGATTATTTACATTTAAAATAATAAAAAACAATTGCATTGTCTTATTTCAAGTGCATAATATCTCATTATCTTATTTTAAGAGTAAAAATACTCATTCCATTGCAAATCATCTTATTAACCTACTCAGGTTAAGGGTAAATACACTTAATTTAAGAATTATGTATTTCTAGATTGTTTTTTTCAGTGCTAATTTACACTGCAAAAACAATCCTGAAATAAGTCAACAATTCTTAAATTAAGTGTATTTACCCTTAATTTGGTAATCAGGTAAAAAGGATGATCTGCCCATGGAATGAATAAGTAAATGAAATAAGTAAATGATTTTTTTTTCTTATCTTAAATGTAAATTTTCTTGTTCCAATGGCAAAGTGTCTTCTCAATTCATGACCATATGCACTTATTTTAAGAAAAAACAACTTAATAAGATTTCAATGTTTTGCAGTGTATTAGTTTTGTGTTTAAAGTTTCTACAACCATTGATTAATAAACGGGTCAGCCGTTCTCTTACCAACAGTGGTTCATTGTTATCTGAGTAATAGGAATTAAAAAAGCCCTTTCTAACATTTTCCACTACAAAAACAAGTGATCAGGTTAGGGATGCACCATATTGGGATTTTGGCCGATATCCGATATTTTAAAACTCATGTAGCCGATAACCGATATCGATACCGAAGTTAAAGCTGGACAAAAATAAGTAGTCTTTGAAAATAGCAGTTTTGTTATCCATTTCTGACACTTTGAAAAATAATATACTCAAATATATTGATTTTTAAAAACGCGGTATCGATCTATTTTACTTTCAAAATCTTGTGAATTTTCATCGTTCTGTTACAAACTCTCGTGATATTTTGCAAATTCTTGTGAGATTTTGTTAGTAAAATAGATCGATACCGCGTCAATATATCAACATATAAAAATATGGCAAAATTTCGTGAATTTTCGGGGGGTTTCGTAGCATAACATGACATATAGCCATATTTCATTAGTAAAAGAGATTGATATGGTGTTTTTAAATGGCAATATATCAGCATATGAAGATATTGGGATATTTTAATGTATCAATATTGAGTTGAGTTTAATTGAACATTTTGGAGCCTTTTCTTTCCATTATACCAACAAAGTAAAAAGTTTCTTCATCTGGATCAGATGCATCAGTAACAATAATGTTTACATTTAAACCTGAAGGTAACACCTACCACGTAGAGCACATTGACGACAGTCTGTCCCTGCTTCAGAGCCGTTCCTTGAATGATGTACTGAGCCTTGATGGTTGCATCACTGTTGCAGGGGAAGCTCTCACTGATCTGCTTCAGATTCAGGAAACTGTTGCTTTTGGAATAAGCGGGTGAGAGGTACAGGTAGGCTTTTCCGTAGTCCGGTCTCCGCAAATCGGGAATGAAAGGTTCGTTTTCCTTCGTATCCTTACTAAGAACCTGTTAGGTGGAATTAAGGGTTACGTTAGAACAATAACAGAGATATTAGAACACAGAGATATCAAGAAGCAGTTCCTTGTTTTTCACTTAGACATAGGGATAGTAAAACTGTCCTCTACGTGGCTGTGTGTTTCCTAGACGGGGCCGCCTTTAAAACTTTCTTTTTCTATCTCTGCTTCTGTCTCCTTGAACCCCAGTCGGCCTCAGCAGATGGTCGCTCACACTGAACCTGGTTCTGCTGGAGGTTTCTTCCTGTTCAAAGGGAGTTTTTCTCTCCACTGTCACTACAAGAATGCTTAGTGTGAAGGATTGCCTTTGAGTTGATGAGTCGATGCAATCAACTGGTTTTCCTCAGATAGAAAAGTTTGAATCAATCAGACTGGATGATCTGGTGAACTGGAAAGAGCCTTGAGATGACGTCATGTGAATTGGAGCTATAGAAATAAACTGCACTGAATTGAACTGTATCAGTTACCCGGATACTGAACCTGTTAATTGGAGCAAACCCCATAAATCTATTATATTTTCGGAAATATTACCATTTTCAGACCATTTCCATTAATCAATGTAATTTCTCTGGCTGTATATACTGACAGGTTTGTTTGGTCTGTTTATGTTCAGGTGAATTTAGTTAGTTTGGAAATTGGTGTTTAATTGATATTAACTAGTCTCCTGTGTGTGTATTTTGTTTATTCCTTTATTGTTGTTTGTCAAAACAAATGGTCTGACATAAATTCCCATTCATTCATTCACTCATTCAAATATTTCTGCAAAGACTACAAACCCCCAGAAGTTTAAACTCACCTTTATAGAGATGCTTCCGGTCCACCGAGACGTGTCCAGGGAAAACGGAGCCATGCCTTTGGCGTTGGTTGTGAGCGCCAGAGTCTTGTCGTTTTCCACGAACAGGTAGAGCAGCTCATTGGCTACAGGTTGGCCGTCGGCACCGACCACTTTGACCTGCAGACAGACGGAGAGGATTGACCACATCTGTCCGGACTCATTTCGTCCATCTTGAACTGTTTCTCAATCACTTTTTTAGAGTTTATTAAGACATTTAACACTGACCCGACCCCTACGGTTATTAACTCACGAGCTGCTACCTTTACTTTAGGAGTCGGAGAATATTTCACCATGTAATTCTTTAAAAGATCTGCAAGTGTACCTGATTATTGGGGGGTATGACCGGCGTTACTTAGGGAGGCCAATTTCCATTGGTGGAAAGTAACAAAGTACATTTACTTGATTACTGTACTTAAGTACTTTTCGGAGTATCTTTACTTTACTTGGGTCATTTGGGTCAAATATTGTACTTTCTACTCCACTCCATTTCCAGGAAGCTGCTAGTTATTTTTTCCTTTTATCTCAGATTAATTTACTAATCCACTGTTGCTGTTTTTCTTTATTGAAATGTAATTTCATCATAGCAGATAGTAGCCCTTAGGACTGAATTTGGACATAAATGTTTTAGAGAGTTAATGATGTTCCACAAATGTGAGGAACTCATTGCAGATATTAGTAGTTTATACATTTCATTAAGGTGTTAGTTGTTGCTATGTTGCCAAGTTGTTAAGTAGGATGAGTCTCAGATCTGTGGTGATAGATTCAACCTTGAACCTCTATTCTACAGTAGAAAACTCTTGTTTTCTTTTTGGTTTGTTTTTAAATAAAAAAATAATAATCAAAATAGCTGTCCTTTTTTCTGTGGCTTTTTTTTTCTAAGCAGTTTTATGTTGATCTTCTAACAGGACCATGATCACCAGAACATCTCCAGGTTCATCCGTTTGACTTTAATGGAGCTCTGCACTGGAAAAAAATCGAAAGTATTTTTTTCTTAAAATAAGTGCATTTGTTCTTGGATTGAGGAGGTAAAAGAGACATTTTGCCAATGGAACAAGACCGTTTACATTTAAAATAGGAAAACACAATTGCATTGTCTTATTTCAAGTGCATGTTATCTAATTATCTTATTTTAAGAGTAAAAATACTCATTTCATTGGCAAACATCTCATTTACCTACTCAAATTAAGGGTAAATACACTTAATTTAAGGCATTTTTACTTGTGTCTAGATCGTTTTTCCAGTGAAAAAGATGGTCTATGATAGCCTCGTGAGACCATCCTGATCTCGCGAGCTTTCAAGGTTTCACTCACTAATCAGTCTGGAAACTCTCCGTTGAAGAAAATTTGGAGCCGTTCACCAAACGAACGTCCAACCAGAGTTGGCTTTGAGGCGGGTTGAGGTGTGACGCAACGAGAAGCGCGACAGTTCAGTCTAAAGAACATGGCGGCTTCAGCAGATGAAACTAGCGTTAGCGTCGCTATCGAGCAAGTTTTATCAGAATTACAGAGTATTTCTTCACTGAAAGAAGAGCAAAACACTGCTCTGGAGGCTTTTCTCAGAGGAAAAGATGTTTTTGCTCTTCTCCCGACTGGTTTTGGCAAGAGTAGCCTGGCTTGTGGTTGTGCTTTCGTCGTCGCTCTGTTAGTACATCATATGCTTCATTGATCTGATTGGTTTATTTGGCCCGTCTATCACCAACATAGGCCAATCAGCTAACCAGTATTTTTGCCCCTTCCCAAAATTACTTCAACGGAAGGTTTCCAGATGGATATGCGGAGCAAATCCATCTGGCGGAGTCAGGTTAGGTCTTTGATGGAGCTCTGTACCTTTCCGTCAAACGATAAGCCAAGCTTGTACACTGTAGGAACCTCCTCGAAGGTGATAGTTCTGATCTGACTGGTTATGCTAGACATCCCAGACCCTTTCAAAACCACCCCTGAAAGTGTAAAACACACAAATCACAGCTGGTTAGAAGCTAGTAAACTCTAAAAGCCTAAACAGCAGCAAGATCTTTGAAAGCCTACCGGTTCCAAACTCCTCCAACTCAGCTGTCAGCTCCAAGCTGTCTGAGTACCAGCTGTACCTGTTTAGATCAAACTCTGCCAGGTTCACAGTCTGTGAGGCACATCCACTCTTATCCAGCTGGAACAGAACCAAAAATGGACCCAATTTAGTTAGAATAAAGGAAAGTGGCTTAAACTGGAAAAATCTGTTCCTCTGAAATGCTTACAGTCAGTTCATAGCTCTTGCACAGGTTGTTACCGGGGGTCACTGAATGAAAGAAATACAGAAAGACTTTCCTACAAAACTGAGCCTTCACTGCACCATCCACGGGTTTGCCATAAGTGTATCTGCAGAAAAAAAAAAAAGTTTTGTTTTCGATTAGAAATGTGTCTTTGTCCTTTGCTTTCTCTATAGTTATGCTGCTATAGGCTTAGACTGCTGGAGGACATAGGGACCCCTTTTTCATCATCCTGCTTCATTCTATCTCTATTCTCCCACTCTGCAGAATCTGTTAGTTCAATCTCTAACGTTCTGCTCTCTCTGCTTTTTCTCATAGTAGCTTCATCTGGTCTGTTCCTGTTTGGCTGTGACGCCATCCTGGAGAGAAATATCAGCTGTGCTGCTGCCATCAACACCTTTGTTTCTAGATGTTGGAGCTTGGCCTGTTTTCCAATGTAGTCCTGTTTCTCTGACTGTGACTAACTGGATGTGCTCTCTTCATCCTCTGACATGGGAGCTGGCTCGGAGCTCGTCTGCCTGGCTGTGTGTTGGACGGGGCCGTCTGTGGAGCTGGTTGACAGTTGTCTTTTGTATCTCTAATTCTCTATCTCTGCTTCTGTCTCCTTGAACCCCAGTGGGCCTCAGCAGATGGCCGCTCACACTGAGCCTGGTTCTGCTGGAGGTTTCTTCCTGTTCCTGTTTCCTCTCCACTGTCGCTACCAGCATGCTTAGTGTGAGGGATTGCCTTTGTGTCAAAAAGTCGATGCAATCAACTACTTTTCCTTAGATAGAAAACTTTGAATAAATTTGACCGTATGATCTGGTAAAATTGTCTCTTTAAAGTGCCTTGAGATGACACGGTGTGAATTGGCGCTATAGAAATAAGCTGAATTTAATTTAATTTGTTCCCTGCTTCAGAGGAAAGTGGATAAAATGTGAACTATACAATGCATTAGAAAATAATTCTACTTGTATCTGAAAAAGAGAAATTTGAGAAGAAAAAGTAAAACAAACAAACAAACAAAAAAAACTTAGGAAAATAAAATATGAGAGAATTTGAGAAAATAGAATAAAAAAAATGTGACAAGAATCTGAAAAAAAAGAAATCTGAGCAAACAGCAAATTTACACTCAAAACAGTTTTCGGTCAATTACTTTAACTATTAATCATAGTTTTATTTTTGGGTTGCTTTTCTTTCTTTAAATCTCCATTTACAAAATGTTTTTTTTTTCTTGTATCAAAAATGGTACTACGGAAGCCGGGAGCGGTCATACTAAGTTTTCTTTTCCATTGCCTTCCTGAGATCATGACATAACTATCTCATTATCATTTAAACAATTAATTGTTTTCTCGTGATAAGATAATTATATCTTTATCATGAGAAAACAGTTATTGATTTATTCAGATAACGAAATGATTAACCTTTTACTTTTGATATTTTTTTATCCATATTTTTATCCTAAGTGTATATATTAGTCTATTTTTTGCATGCCTTATACCCCAGTGTTTTTAGAGATTTTTATAATTTTATTTACCTATTTCATATTATATGTTTCATGTTGCACGATTGTACCATAAAAAATTCCTAGTTTGTGAACTCCTTCACTAACAATGGCAATAAACCCGATTCTTATTCTGATTCTGTGTGAGTAATGAAGGAGGCTGGCCACAGCCCTGGATTCCCAGTCCATCCATGCCTGTGGGGCCTATAGTTGTGCAGTCGCAGTACCGCGTGTGCAAAAAATAATCAGTTTCCTTTTCTGCATGGAATGCAGTAGAAAATAATATTTTTGTTTATGAAAAATGTTTCATCTGGACTCATTTTGGGGGTTCATGGGGTTATACCTGTTGCAGGTGTAACACTGGTGCTATTCAGAAAACACCTGGAGGCAAAGGTCTAATTGCTTATGAATCAGAAGTAGAAGCAAATCATCAAACCAACAACGTTCTCATTAGCTAAAAGTTAAACACAGGATTATTTACAGAGTTATACACAGGCTGCCATGACTTATACTAACAAATTATCTTGCATTGTTTTGGTATAGAAGGATGCAATCAGTTTTAACTCACACCAATCATCTCGTTACCATGAGAAAATGGCTTTCATTATCTTTAGATAATGCGAAAATTAAATTGTTTTCTCCAGAAAACCAAAATTCCCTCCATTTTAATCTTTACTTGGTCATCTCTGTTATTCGGTGGGTCAGAATGTTGGATTTTGGGAAAAGGTCAACAATAAATAAGTTTAACAAACTGGATTTAGTTTTCCATTGAAAACCAGACAAAGAAACAAAAACAAAGTTAGGTTAGCATCCATTGAATTTTGGTCACTTACTGTCCACAGATCTTAAACGTTGTGGTTTTATCCAGGATGGTAATCACGCTGGGCATCTCCACCTTTACCTCAAACTTTGGCAAAACTGCAACAAAAGTAAAAAAGTAAAAATAAAAAATTCAACCAGCCTCCAAAGTGACAACCTGCATCGTTTCAAATCGTCTCAAACTCACCGTACTCCTTGATTTCAAAGGTGTGGGAGATCTCCCCGTCGGCCATCACAGCACTGATGGTATAGGTTCCCTCTGCGGCTTCAGGGATAGAGGGGTGAGACAGGTCTAGGATGCCCTTATTGATTTCCTGATTCAGCCACTGGGCAATGCGGTTGGAATTGGGATCCTACACACGGCAATTACAGAAATATTTAATTAAAATCAGTAAAAAAAACAACAAAAAAACAACTAATGCTGTCCGTAAAGATAAAAAAAATAGAAATTATAAATTGATATTGCTTATTGATTTCTTATCTGGTCTGTTGAGGGAATCTCAGCTGATGACATCTTTTTTTTTTCTGAAAATGTTAGCATCTAAATTAATCCTCCAATTACTATCTTTGCATCTAACAATTAAGTCTTTAAAGTAAAAGTTTGGTCTTATTCAGGATTCAAACTTCTAAAAGTACTTTAAATCTGAAATGATTCCATCCTGTTCAATAAATGATCAGTGTTTTTAATTCAGAGTAATTTTCATGTGAATGTGCTTTACTGGAGGCATCCATGTTTGTCAAAGAACACTACTGCCACCTACTGGTTAGTGACGTCACGGTGCGGTATCGGCTGTTGATCAAGTCCCAGTGCTGTATCTGGTGTTTGTCACAACGCGCTATTATCCAAGTCATCTTGAAAACATTCTTCTTCCAAATGTTGGCTACATATTACGGGTTTTTTCTCTGGCCAGAAGTTCGATGGCAAATCCTCCTTCTTCAAGTTGGCGATCCAACGACCAACCCGTCCGTGGAGGATCAGGAATCAGAAAGGTGGAATAACTCTTTTTTTTTTCACTTTTACCCAATGTATTCCAGCATCCAGCTGCCATGCACGTGGGCACTGTCAGTTTCACTATAGCTCTGGTGAATTTCAATGGTGAAGTCCTCTGGAAATCTTAAAGTCGTAGGGAAGCGGCCGTTCCAACCGTTGCATTTACGAATTCTCCCAAGTGGTGCTCGACTTTACATGAGTGAACAAAGTGAATGTGATTGGTTGTTTATTAAGGGGGTGGGATTGTTGTGGCGAAAGGTTCGCAAGTATGTTTGGTTGTAGCCAGTTTGTCAGAAGCATCTTGCTAACCAGTTAGCATCTTAGTGCTAGCAGGTTCCCAATGGGAAATTCAATTGGGACCAAGTAGCACTAAATTGGTGACTTAGAAACGACGCTGTCAAGGAACGCTATTGACAGCGGAAACATGCAAGAGGAGGAGAGTTTAGTGTCGGAGGTCGTGGATGAGTCTCCTCCGTCATCCATTTTTTATTTAGAGGAGGAAAGCGGGGACGAAGATGTTGTGGAAGAGGACGCCAGGGCGGCAGAAGCTTGGTTTGGTGTAGAAGGCTTCCAGCCTTACATGTTTGAGCCCTTGCCTCGCAACGCTGCCAGTTCTGTTAGCTCTACGCCTGCCGAAGACACAGACGTCCATCCCCGTGAACACTGGGACGCAACTCAATGGGAAAGGAAAGGATTCTGATTTCGCATTTCAACCGTTGCGTATATTAGCTGCGACATATGAATCAAGATGCTATGACCGAAAAATTTGGATGGACAGATGACTGTTGATATATGATTGGCCGAATTTAGGTGTTCAGGCTGATGTAGAACTAACTGGCCTGCAGAAGATATTAAAGAAAAAAACACAAATTTTAAGACACGATTCTTTTAAAAATACAAATTTTCTAAATTTTGGGACAATATCGTCAGATAAAGAGTATATTTATACATGTTTAAGCCAGAATTATTTGACATTTAAATATGAATTTCCTATGACTTTAACTATAGCTCTGGTGAATTTCAATGGTGAAGTCCTCTGGAAATCTTCAATAATTGTTGTTGATTGCAGATGTGTCTAGTAGTTCCCATTGATTTTGCTTGTAAAGTGGGGAGAATGGCGCTAGGCTTACCGCACCGTGACGTCACTGCTTACAATGATAATTTTTGTCAGCGATCGAGACGAAAATTATTGTTTTTATTTTTTTACTGATTAATACTAAATTCATTTAATCACAGCAAATATATTAGTTTTTGGTATAGATAATGATCCAATGATCATTCCTTGCTGACCAGACTTTTCCTTTAAATGCTGCCTCAAGCTGAGATTAACAGGTTTAAAAGAGCCAGGAGTTAAACTCCAGCCAGACCTTCTTTATCTCTTTATCTTTACTTTCTGCCTGCAGATAAAACTCCTCAGGAAGAAAGTGCAGACTTCAGCAGAAGTGTCTCAGGGTGGAAATGCTTAAGTTCTTACCTTAAGCACCACCTCCGTATACTAGAGAGGAAAAAAAGAGAAACAGAAAAATGTCATTTTCAGTCAAAGTCAAGAGGATGTGAACAGTAGGAAGTTAGAGCTCCTCTCCAGACTGTAAACATGGCAGCTGAAAACTCCTCCAGTCTTACAGGAACTTCCCCGCAAGCTTTGAAAAACGGACCAAGATAACTGATTGGAAGAAATTTGGATCTGCTTTGATTTTCTATTTGAAATCAAAACATGTTTTTGTACAAAAAATAAATAAAATAAAATAGTTTCGATACATGTGAATTTGTATGCTTTTATTTTGAAACATTGAAACATATCTCCTTAGACTTTCGTTCATCCATTTTAACCAAACTGAAAATTATTTGGATGTAGTATCTTTATCTTAGAACAAAACGAATATATATGTATTTTAATGGAGGAGATATTGATTTACCAAACGTTTACTTCCCATTAAACCATCGGTAGCTTGAGTTTGGGGGCAGTTCTGGTCCAAATCACTCATTCTGGGTTACCTTCTTTTCTTCGCTCAGCTTATATCTTAACGAGATAAAAAAGGTCATTCCTAAAGCCTCCTGCTGCCTGTCGGAGCGAAGAAGTAAAGATGTTTCATTTCCATCTGCTTCAATTTATGGAAATAGAGATTTCACGTTCACGGCACGCTGCCATGTTCTCATCCCCCTCATTAGAAACGGGAAAAAGGCCCGCACCCATATTGATTCAGATGTTTGGGTCACGCGCCGTGTGCGCCAAATGAACTCTGACAGCCTGTTTATCGCTCCACTCCACACAGCGCTTCACGCCCACACCGTCTTCCAAAAGCAACAAACAGTCCTGCTTCCACCTCCCACTCTTTCTGAACCAAAATAGACCCCGCTGCACACATTCACCGACGGCTCGCCAGATATCACAGCCCATTACCAGGTTCACTCATCGGTACTCCGACGTACTTCTAACAGGAAAGTGACAAAAGATGAGCAGATAAAATAATAAATAATAAAAACATACCACTCGATTTACGGGGAGGAAGTTGTCATCCAGGGAGGCGATCCGAAATTTGACTTTAAAAGACAAAGAGAAGCAGTGATGAGAAAAAGATGAGGTCATGCAAAATATCATCAAAACATATTAATGGAAATATTAGAATAAAAAGGATATAACAACTGTCTTTATGAGATACAGACAAACATTAATAATATCAATTAAACATCAGGAATAGTCCAACTCTAAAATCTATTATTTATGGTTAACATTTATACAGGTTAAATATGGAAGGATGAGTGAACAGAGTGATGGATGGATGGATGGATAGATGGATGGATGGATGATTGAGTGATGGATGGATGGATGGACAGATAGATGGATGGATGGATGGATGGATGGATAGATGGATGGATGGATGGATGGATGATGGATGATTGAGTGATGGATGGATGGATGGATGGATGGATGATTGAGTGATGGATGGATGGATGGATGGATGGATGGATGGATGGAGGGATGGATGGATTATGGATGATGGATGGATGATTGAGTGATGGATGGATGGATGGATGGATGGATGGATGGATGGATGGATGGATGGAGGATTGATGGATGGATGGAGGATGGATGGATGGATGGAGGATGGATGGATGGATGGATGTATGGATGGATTGAGGGCTGGATGGATTATGGATGATGGATGGATGATTGAGTGATAGATGGATGGATGGATGGATGGATGGATGGATGGATGGAGGATGGATGGATGGAGGATGGATGGATTGATGAATGGATGGATCGATGGATGGATGGATGGATGATTGAGTGATGGATGGATGTATGGATGGATGGATGGAGGGATGGATTATGGATGATGGATGGATGATTGAGTGATGGATGGATGGATGGATTGATGAATGGATGGATCGATGGATGGATGGATGATTGAGTGATGGATGGATGGATGGATGGATGTATGGATGGATGGATTATGGATGATGGATGGATGATTGAGTGATAGATGGATGGATGGATGGATGGATGGATGGATGGTTGAGTGATGGATGGATGGATGATGGATGGATGGTTGAGTGATGGATGGATGGATGATGGATGGATGATTGAGTGATGGATGGATGGATGGATGGATTGATGGATGGAGGGATGGATTATGGATGATGGATGGATAAATGGATGGATGGATGGATGGATCGATAGATGGATGGATGGATGGATGGATGATGGATGGATGGATGGATGGATGGATAGATGGATGGATGGATGGATGGATGGAGGGATGAATTATGGATGATGGATGGATGATTGAGTGATGGATGGATGGATGGATGGATGGATGGAGGGATGGATTATGGATGATGGATGGATGATTGAGTGATAGATGGATGGATGGATGGATGGATGGTTGAGTGATGGATGGATGGATGATGGATGGATGGTTGAGTGATGGATGGATGGATGATGGATGGATGATTGAGTGATGGATGGATGGATGGATGGATTGATGGATGGAGGGATGGATTATGGATGATGGATGGATAAATGGATGGATGGATGGATGGATCGATAGATGGATGGATGGATGGATGGATGGATGATGGATGGATGGATGGATGGATAGATGGATGGATGGATGGATGGATGGAGGGATGGATTATGGATGATGGATGGATGGATGGATGGATGAATGGATGGATGGATGGATGGAGGGATGGATTATGGATGATGGATGGATGATTGAGTGATGGATGGATGGATGGATTGATGGATGGATGGATGGATTATGGATGATGGATGGATGATTGAGTGATGGATGGATGGATGGATGGATGGATTGATGGATGGATGGATTGATGGATGGATGGATTGATGGATGGATGGATGGAGGGATGGATTATGGATGATGGATGATTGAGTGATGGATGGATGGATGGATGATTGAGTGATGGATGGATGGATGGATGGATGGATTGATGGATGGATGGATGGATGGAGGGATGGATGGATTATGGATGATGGATGGATGATTGAGTGATGGATGGATGGATGGATGGATGGATGGATGGATGATGGATGATTGAGTGATGGATGGATGGATGGATGGATTGATGGATGGATGGATGGATGGATGGATGGATGATGGATGGATGGATGGATTGATAATTTGTCTCTACTCCTGTTTTTATTTCCAAAGTTATCCAACAGCTCTCCTTCTTAATCCAAACTAGCAGGCTGTGTAGAAACCTGTGAAACAATCAGATGATTTTTTTGTTTTGTTTTTGTTGTTGATTGAATTAAACTAAAAAAGGAGGAAGTGATTCAGATCTGGGGCAGATTTAGGAAATTTGGGCCCCTTGACAAAAATAGATGTCTATTAATAGAACAGACATCCATTATCTGTTCTAGGTTTTGTTCCTCTCTTCTTTTCCTTATTCTTGTTGTTTGCCTCTCTATGTTGTTTTCCTCTTCTTTTCACCATGATCTGCTTATCTGTTCTCCATTTTTCATTTGGATGAAATAATAGCTGCATGAATCATGACAGCAGACAAGATAGAGGAGAGCAGGAGGCGGGGTTACCAATCTACTCGCTCTGGAGAGCAGAGTTCGCTGCTTTTAGATGTTGTCTCCAAAGTCTCCAGTAGCAGAAAAAAGTCTCTAGATTTGGCGCTAGGAGCTTTTTAGAAATCAAAGTGCTAGAGGGGTCTGAAAAGTCGCTATATATAACGACAAATGTACTAAGTTAGCAACACTCCTCTTTGCATGGTTTGTTTTCAAATGGTTTGCTGCTGCCTGTTTGGACCTTTCTGAACATGTGCAGCAAATGGACTGATCCAATATGGTGGACACTGAAGGGGGGGGCTGAGACACACTTAATATTATAAGCGGTCCAATGGCGTTTAAGCCAAAGGATTTTTATCAAGAACATAATTAAGGTGCACAAATAAGGAAAAGTTGTATGAACCATACGTGTGAACAGAGTTTCATAGGGCCCCCAGGAACTTGGGGCCCTAGGCAACTGCCTAGTATTGCCCCCCCTAATTCAGATAACTTGTTTGATGCCATTATGGGGTCAAGTTTAAACTTCCTCCAAAAAGCTTAGGATAAGAACTGTTGAAGAAACAGCAGCTTTTTGCATTTAGAAATAACATCCAGAGTTGTTAACTGATGGCTCAGCATTATGCAGATGCAGTAAAATAATCCCAAATTGTGCTGGAACAGCTGAATTACTAAGCAGCGCAGAGACAAAAGCTGAAGCATTGCTATTCCTGGCAGCCAGCTGAAACGCTGCAGCGCTTCCACACAACCAGCAGGCAGAGAGACGAGACGCTCACCAACTTGTCCAGGTTTGAAGATGGGTTTGTCCGTCTGCACGATGTGGATGAAACCAGGCGGCTCAATGACGACTTCGGTCTTCTTGCTCAGGGAAGCGCCTTTACCCTGCAGCGTGATGTCAACCTTTGCTATCGTCCTGCTCAGCACTGCTGGGACCTGTAACACCAGTAAAGAAAATCATAGAAACTACAGTCTGAACTTCCATGAATTTTATTGGGATTTTATGCAACTGATCAAAGAAATATAGAAGAGGAGAGAAACGAACATATCTGCGTTCACTGCAGCAGACAACCTGGTTTCTGAGTATAAATCAGCCTTAAGAGTGTTTGTTTTAGACTAGACTAGAAGCAACCTGGTAGTTTCCTCTTCAAAATCAAGCAAAGCCTGCAAGCTACAAAACAGACGTGGAACAGAAACCCAAGAATTCATCCAGTGAGGCCCGCTGCTGATGGCAACCTGAGTTATGGCTAATGAGGCGAGTAATGATGCCAAGATCGGTGGCATTCCGTGACACGGACAATTAGACGATGGAGGGGGGCATGTACACTGTGTTTAGAAACATCACCGATGAATTAAATGTTCCGAACAATAAGTTCTATTTTAGTTCTGCAGGAAAACGGACCAGCAAAGAAGAGAAACCAGACCTGGAACTTAAAGCAGTTGGTGAAATCCTCTGAGATGGTTTTCTCCAGGATGACGTTTTGGATGGAGTCCACAGTGAGAGTGATGTTCAGAGAGAGCCCTTCAGTGGGGTTTTGGACGATAGCACACATTGTGTCCTGTTTCCCTCCAGTCAAACGGGAGCTAACAGTCACTGCATAGCTACTGCAGTGGAGGAAAAGAGACAAAAGACAGTTTATTGGAAAACTTTCCACATATCCTCTAAGATCATTTACTGAATGCAAAGTTTTTTTTCCAGGTATTGCATAACTTGCCCTTAAACGAGATTAATGAAATCTCATTTTAATAAAAATATGGAACTATCGGTCTCAATTTTTCACAAATACACATATTTGATTCCGACATGCACAGGACAAGTCCACACAAGCACAAAACGATTCACACAAGCAAAAAACGTGGAGTACTTTCTTGTATTTGGCTTATACAAGAGAGCTTTGTGATTGGTGGCAAACCATCCCCTGCTTAAAAAAAATGCATTGGTGTATCAAGGCACGTCAGGAGAGTCTCAAAAATCCAAGCTCAAATGCAGTGAAGTTTAAAGACCACTGATACTTTTTAATTTAATTTATAATAGTTTATGAACCAGAAATATTTTGGTGAATCAAGCTGTGCATGTGTGTGGATCTTGTACTGTGTGTATTGGTGAAAATTGAGACCGATCTACTTCCATATAAAAATGGGTTAAATATGACCACTGCCAAACTTTATAAAAGCTGGAGTAATTTTAATAGAAAAAAAAAAGTAAATATTTCCTAAAATAATTCAATTTCCCTTCATTTGAGCAAAGATATGAGATGATCTGCTTATTAAACCAATTTTTTTAACCATTAAAATAAGTTAACTACATATTATGCATTTATTACAATATATATTTCAATAGTCAATCATCTTATTCCTTTGGTAAATTGACTTACCTGCTCAAATCAAGCAGAACTACATGAATTAAAAAGAAATGGTGTTTATATGTTTGCAGTGCACAGCATTTAGGATGACTTCTGTTAAAGGGTTTTGGTCCATTCCTGCTCTAATTTATAGCAAAGTATTTAATCCTGTCGAGGCCAGAAGTTAAACTCTGATTATCAGTCCTGTTCTTCTAAACTAAACCCTCACAGATGCTTAGAAAGAGCTCGTCAGCCATGGAGACCCGCCCCGAAAAAGAAAGCAAACCAAAAAAAACCCTACTCTGTTCTATAGCTAATTTGAAAGGCGCATATTGTAGGCAGTTGTTCTCGTCTCCTCATCCACTGACCCCACCATGTGGCCTGCCGCTCTGTTAATGGCTTCCACTGGTTTCCCAGTCGCTTCCAATACGTACAACTGGCCTTAAATATATATATATATTTTTTGTACATGACTAAAGGGATAGACACCCGTTGATCTGATGTCTTGTGTATGCTGATTGAACATGGGTATGCCAATCTGACAGAACAGCGGCTCTAGACACAGTTTACCAGGGGGTGGGGCCTGGGTGGAGCCTGTGTTTTATAACGATGAAAACCTGGTCGTATCTTAAATGTATAGTGGAGGATTTTCGCGAATTTTTGAAAAGACCCGCCCTCCCACTTGAAAAAAAAAAAGCACATGCACAACCCTGTACCCGCTCCAGAGAGGGAACGTTTATTAAACGCCTGCGAGAGCGCGTGCACAAGCCCATTCCCTCGCTCTGTTTTAAAGATGCTGTTTGCATCACTCATAAGAGCTTATTTTCCAAATGATTTGCGATTTTTCCACGATGTCAGACTGAACACCGGTGAGAAAATGGGAACGAGCACCTAGGACGGCCTTACGTAAACACATCACCAGAATGACTGACAGTTAGAAGGACCACTTATTTAGATGATCCACCCAGAAAAAGAACATTTAACACACTGCAAAAAATTAAATCTAAATGAATAAATCTATCTTAAAATTAGTTATATTTTTCTTTAATTGAGGAGGTAAGTGAGACACTTTGCAAATGGAGCAAGACAATTTTTCAAGCCGCCAGAGGGGGAAGTTAGTTGGAAATTAAAGAAAAAAGGTGCAATAATGATTTTCATTTAGCACATGAACATGCTAGCAGCAGGCGCGACGGAGAACAAATCTCCCGAATTCCCACATTTTGACATTTATTTGCCACATTAAAGTGAACCAATGAAAAGACTGGGCTCAACTCCTGAAAAGCTAAAATAAAGAGCTGATTAACCACCATCTTTCAGTAGAAGCTCTAACTGCTGAGAGCTAACAAGCTAACAGGAGCTAGCATTCTTCTTCCTCCCTAATCCAGGGGCTATTTGTAGAGCTCCCCCTACAGGTTTGGTGGGAAACAGTTCAGTAGATATCAGCAGTTAATAGCCCTGTGCAGCGCATATATGTTTCCAGTAAAAAAGAGTGCTGTGCACTCTACAGTCTGGAAAATATCGTACATTTAAGATAAGAAGAAAAAAATGCATTGTCTTATTTCAAGTGCATATCATCTAACTATCTAATTTTAAGAATAAAAACACTCATTCCATTTACAAATCATCTTATTTATCTGCTCAAATTAAGGGTAAATACACGTAATTTAAGAAAGTTTTACTTATGTCCAGATTGTTTTTGCAGTGCAGGAGTTTTAAGTTCATCAAAGTAGAAATACTTGAGTAGAAATGCTGTCTATCTAGACTTTATTGCAGTAGTTATTTTTTAGACAACTTCTTACTTCTCCTTACATTTTAAAACTAGACTCGTCAGTTGTGTTCCATTTAAGCTAATTTTGGTTATGGCCTGTGGGTGTTTAAAAAAATAAATAAATAACAACCTTCAAAAATATTATTTTCATCCAGAAAATTATTTTCTTTGTAAAATTTCTTTTTGTTGACCTCACACCCAAAAAAATAGTTTTACAAGATGATGCAAAGTTAAATCTGAAACTGTTACCATTAGGTATATTACATAAAAAAAATAATTAATCTGCATTAGCCTAATTTTAATTTTGTACTTAATTTAGTTTTAAAATTTTTACTTTTACACCTTTACTGGAGTAAAAGCTGAAGTTGACCCACTAACTTCTACAAAAGTGTTTTTAAAAAGTAGGATTTCTACTTCTACTGCAGTAAAAACACTCAAATAAATACTTTGACACTTCTGTTATTAGCAAAAGAAAAAGTTGATTTTAGGGCGAGGAGTCCTTTATAGACATGCCCTCAATTAGATCATTGAAATAAGCAAATAAAACAGGTGGGGTTGAGGGCACCACCTGCCCCCCCCCCCCCCCCCCCCCCCCCCCCCCTTTGTAGCAGCCCTTTTTTTATTGACCTGCCTCAGATTTTTTTTTTTTTTTTTTTAAATGATCTGAATGTTTCTGATTTATTTCCGCAGATTAAGGAATTCAATCAAGCGTTGAACCTCCAACTCTGCAAACAAAAACACCACAGGCCAACATTCCTGTTTTCCTCCTGTCTGGTCACGTGCACCTGGTTGTCCTGCGAACTTCTGTTACCATAACAACCTGCTGCGGCTTCTATGACTGCCTTTTACTTACGTGTCTTTCAGGTCGGCCGACGTGGTGTCGATCAGCAGAGCTGAGGCGAACAGGGCGGCAGAGAGCGCTCTGAGGAGGACAGGTGCCATGTCTGCGGAGGCAACACGACCGGACCGGACTGGACTGGACCTGGAGCTGCTGCTGGAGCTGCGGTCCCTACTGCTGCTGCTGGAGTTTTCTGACAGTCACGGATGTTGGCTGCTCAAACCTGTCCTCAGATTTGCGGCGGTGCTGTTTTATAAGACCGATCCAGCCTCCAGCTTTACCCCCCCCTCCTGGAGGGTCACTCCCCCAAAGTCCGTTGGACATTTGCAGCCTCCTCCCCTTCCTAAAAGTGGGAGTCGGGAGGTCACCTTTCCAGTTTCTGAAGGATTCCAGTAAAAAGCCAACATCTTCCCCCAAGCGAAGCCAGTAAACAACTAAAACTATTTCTCAAACCATGAAGACCTTACTGAATGGACTAGTTGGTCCACAACTGAAACAGCAATACCTCAGGGCCCCTTTATAACAGATACTCCCTCTGGCCTAAATTACCTGCTAATCCAGAAAGCTTGATACTTCTGCTCCATCACAAAAACCCCTGGCAGATGTGAAAACAATAAAATGCTTGTATTTAGAAGAGAATGCTTTTTCAGAGTTATTAGCCAAACTCCCTGAAACCCAACTGATGCTAGAGGCTTTTTCCAAAACATTTTAGGAGGTTGGAGTGGGCAGAGGATGGGATCTCTGAACATGAGCGGTTCTAGACAGGGGCCACCGGGGGCCAGTGCCCCTGTAGATCATTAACCTGACTCCGCCAGATGGATTTGCTCCGCATATCCATCTGGAAACCTTCCGTTGAAGTAATTTTGGGAAGGGGCGAAAATACTGGTTAGCTGATTGGGCTATGTTGGTGATAGACGGGCCAAATAAACCGATCAGATCAACGAAGCATATGACGTACTAACAGAGTGACGACGAAAACACAACCACAACCCAGGCACAAGCCAATTGATAGATCAAACCCTTGCCGAAACCAGTCGGGAGAAGAGCAAAAACATCTTTTCCTCTGAGAAAAGCCTCCAGAGCAGTGTTTTGCTCTTCTTTCAGTGAAGAAATACTCTGTAATTCCGATAAAACTTGTTCGATAGCCACGCTAACGCTAGTTTCATCGGCTGAAGCCGCCATGTTCTTTAGACTGAACTGTCGCGCTTCTCGTTGCGTCACACCTCAACCCGCCTCAAAGCCAACGCTGATTGGACGTTCGTTTGGTGAACGGCTCCAAATTTTCTTTAACGGAGAGTCTCCAGACTGATCTGTAATTGAAACCTTGAAAGCTGGCGAGATCAGGATGGTCTCACGAGGCTAGTAGATCATGTCCTGGCCCCTGTGCTGAAGACATAAAACTTTGTTACTTTTTTTTTCTTTGCAAATTCTGTTTTACTAAATATTTAAAAACAATAAGGTGATAACGAGGCTCCAGTGGTATTCAGATAGGATCCCAGTTTTCATCTGCTAAATGTTTTTTTAATGCTATAATTTTTTACAGGTGAATTTATCAGCCTTTCTTGAGTTATTATTCAGATTTTATAAAAAAAAAAAAAAACTTAACTTAACTTAACTTTTAACTTAAATTAAGTGAAAAATAAGTAAAATGCCTAAATCCTGAATGTATATTGACCTAATAAGAAATAGAATTTTTATTAAACCTAATTGAATGAAAATTTTACTTTTTGCAGCTCTCTTAATTTAGTTGAATCCCTTGTCCTGTTTTTTATTTCATGCTTTTTTGTTCCCCCATGCAAACAATGCTGGCCCCCTCCTGGCCCCCTGGTATATTTGGTCTAGAACCGCCTCTGTCTTAAACGTCTAAACCCTTTCTTATTGATAATCCAGATTATCGGGTCTTCACTTATGCAATATTTCCTTCAACTAATCTAAACAGCCTTTCTACAGGATTTAGATCAGGTGAGTCAACCACTGAAGAGGGTCGATGGAGTCTGGTGGATTGTCCTGGCCCCGTTAATAGCCTCCTTTGAGTTAAATATTGGGACACTTCCAAACCGACGCAGGTTTTACAAAGCTCTGATTATTCAGGAGTCGGCAAAGAGCTTCTGCACATTCCTCAGTGAAGGCCACTCTCCTAGACAGGAATTAGAATCCATGATGATGCTTGGAGCAAAATGAACCACAATGCTTAACAATTATAATGCAGCTGAAAACACCACATAGCTTCTGGGCTGAAGCTTCTGTAAAACATGTTCTGTGAGGGAACATTTTGATGCAATATCTGCTAAAAAAATATATTTATTTCAAAGCTTGTTCATGCAAAACAGAGATCCATTAAATATTTATTTTAATTGATATTATTGGGGAAGCTTCCACTCTGTCAGAAATCCTTGCCATGATGTATCCTGTGTTCTCAGCTTTATGGAGATTCAGTAAATCACTCCTGATTATTATGGACAGCACAACATAGATCCACTTCATTAGCAACTGTTGCAGAATAAAACTGAAAAAAAGAGAGAATGCGAATGCATTAAAATGTATCCTGCTGTTTTTAGTTCATAAATATATTTAGAAATAGGTGTCCTTTTTCTGCCTTTAGCACCTGGTGCCAGAAATGTCCGTGCACCGGGCCTACAAAAGAGAAAAAGCTGTTTCCACTGTTGCATTCCAGCAAAAAGATTCAGGGTTTGATTCAGTGTCTTTCTGCAAAGGGTTTGCATGTTCTCCCTGTGCATGCCTGGGGTCTCCCTGGGTACTCCGTTTTCCTCTCACAATCCAAAGACCTAACTGTTAGGTTAATTGGCTTCTCTAAATTGCCCTTAGATGTGTGCACACATGGTTGTCTGTCTCTGGGTTGCCCTGCGATGGACTGGCGACCTGTCAGGGGTTCACCCTCCATAGACGGTTGGAGATAGGCACCAGCCCCACCGTGACCCTGATAGATGAAGTGGGAGAAGATGGATTTTTTTTCTTTCAAATTTTAGTTTTTTAGAGTTTTAAAAATGGCATTCATTTAAATTTTATTCTTTTTCACTTCAAGGCCAATTCAAACATTAACTGCAGAGGAAAGCCCGCCCCAGGAGTGAAGAGAATGTGATCACAAAAAAAGCAATAATAAGAATAAAATACATCAAATTTAATCTGAAAAACAGAAATTGAAAAAAAGGAAGATATAAATCTGTAAAGAACATTTTTGAAAAAAATAATTTAAAAATGAGTGAACGATGGGGGATGATCTCTGCCTGCTTTTGTACCAAACCATTTCCTAACCTGTCCTCATCCAGCCTGTCAGCCCCACTGTGTGTGGAACCTGGAACTGTGACCTGACTCCGTCTTGGATTCTCCTTCAGGGCCTCACTGGATCTCTGACCTCCTGGCTCTGTCAACCAACCGCATCTCTGACATCGACTTAGGCTTCGCCCTCTGGATTATCCTGTCTACATCCGTCTGCTTGCTTCTGATCTTCTGCCTGTCCTTCGACTTCTCATACACCTGCGTCTGTGACTCGCTGTGCGGCAAAATGTGAGTTTCATGTGTCAACTATGTCTTTCTTAGGTTTTGTGGTTTCCCCGGATCATATAGCTTTGTACCCGACTAAGGTGAGCGCAGTTACTGACTGGCCTGTTCCTGAGGACTGAAAGTAGTTCTAGAGATTCTTGGGTTTTGCAGATTTCTACCGATGCTATTTTAGGAATTACAGACAGGTAGCTGGGTCTCAGGGCTCTCTCCTTTTTATGTTGTTTTTGTTTTTCAGCCACCGGTGTTCACCATCCAGGAGAAAGGTTTTAAATTTCAGCTGGCCTGGTTTTCTGCTTTGATGTGCCAGCAAGTATGGAGGAGAGCTAGAAGAGCTATCAGCAGTGCGTCTGAGAGCCAAACCGAGGCGGCTAACCATCGGACGGTCCTGGCTCCTGAATCCGGGTCAGAGGGTTTGCCTCTCCACCAAGGACCCCTGAGAGTGGAAAGAAGGAACCTGGCACCTCGGTTCATCGAGCCGTACCCTATTGCCAAGGTGGTGATTCCTGGTGGCCGATCGCCTCTAGCTCCCCTGTTCTATGAGGATTCACCCAACTTTTCATGTGTCCCAGGTCAAACCTGTTGCAACTTTGAGGTTTCTGCCCACCACCAGACCCTCTCATTCAGCTCCTCGCAGGATCTCTGACCTCCTGGCTCTGACAACCGACCACGTCTCCGACATCGGCTTTGGCTTCGCCCTCTGGATTATCCTGCCTACATCTGTCTGCCTGATTCTGATCATCTGCCTGTCCTCTAACCCCCAGTACACCCGCATCTAGGACTCGCTGTGCAGCGACCACCGTGCCGTGTTGGCAGCCAGCCGGCCGGAACCATCCTCTACCTATGGACTCAGACTGAAATATAAGATCAGGTTAGTGACTCACTTGTTTGTGATCATCCACTTCCAGAAAGCTCTCTCTACCCGTAGAGGTTCCTGCCTTAGATGCGGATGTCGTCTGTCGTTTAATTGTTCTGAGAAATCTAAATGTTTGTCCTCCTCAAATACTGGATCCTTCTGTTCTGAGCTTGACACTCATTTAAAAGTCATATATTGCATTTTCTCTCCACTATATTTCAAGGGAGCAGCTAGTTACTTCTTTGTTTTGGCTCAGCGTAGCTTAGTAATCTGCTGTTGCTGTTTTTCTCTCTTGAAATCCAACTTCAGCATGACAGATAGCAGCTGTGGACTGAATTTGGACACCTCTGTTTAAGAGATTTGCATGACATGCGACAAATGAGAGGAACTCAGAGCAGATATATTAGTTTATAAATTTTACTCAGGCATTAGTTGTTGCCATGTGGCCAAGTTGTTGGATGAGTTGGATGAGTTCTCAAAGCAGAGTTGCAGTTTATATCTGGTAATAGATTCAACCTTATACTTCTATTCTATAATGAAAGTGTGAGGAGAATCTAGACTATCCTGATTTTTCTTTGGTTTGATTTTAAACAAGAACTAATAATCAAAATAGTTGTCCTTTAGTTATTTTAGGTATTTCTATGCTGAAGATTTTTACATGCACTGGAAAAAGTGTTACCTTGCTGAAACTAAAAAAAATAATGTCCAGATATCACATCTAAAATATTTGACTTCACAGAATCTGAATTTAATCGCTTGTTAGTGATTGATGTAAACAA